GACCTGTGTCAAAGTGCCTTAAAGATGCCATTTACATGACAATAGTAGCAAAAGGAATGGGAAGAAACAGTCCTGTATTGGAAGAAGTTTTCCAATGCTAGTTAAGTTATATTATTGCAACTGAGAATTCACAAATTCTTCCTAATTGCAGATGAATCATTTTCCCGGATAGACCACATATCAGTCCACAAATCCTTAATCCATCTCAAAAGAATTAAAATCCACTATATTCCAAAAATGAGTGAAATCTTTACAATATTTTTCTTTCTCCTGGTTTATTTCTCTTAGCATAACCCCCTCAAATTCCATTCATGTTGGATGGTGCTGGAAGGGATCATGCTCAGCAAAATAAGCCAGAAAGAAAAAGAAAAATACCGGATGGTCTCACTCATAGCAGGAATCTAGAAAACTTAAATAAGGGACCAGGAAAAAGAATAACTATAAGAAAGTAAAAATCAAAATCAACAAACAACTGTGAACCAGAGACACTCTATGGGGGGTGGGGGGCGGGGAAAGGAGGGATTGGGGTCAAAATAAGGGGTTGCAATTGTATGGGGAATATAAAAAAAAATTAAAATTAAAAAAATAATAAAAATTAAAATCTATGTTAAATACTATGCTACAAATGAAAGCACTAGCATAATTGTGAAAAATTGAAAATATATATATATATATATATATATATATATTTAGTCAACCATAAACAAATTGAAACTTGCACTAGTTAAACTATGAGATGCCTACAAAGGAGATGGAAAAAAAACAAAATAAAATTTGAGGACGAGTTCTACAATGGTAAGAAAATATAAAACTTTTGAATAAATCAGAAAGAGATGAGTTTTGAAAAAAAAATTCCATGTTGTTGTAAATGGCAAGATTTCGTCTTTTCTTTTTATAACTGTATATATACCACATCTTCTTTATCCATTCACCTGTTGTTTCCTTATCTTAACTATTGTGAAAGTGCTGTAACAAACATAGGGGTACCTGTATCTTTTCGAATTAGTGTTTTTTCAAATTCTTCAAGTAAATACCCAGAAATGGGATTACTGGCTCACATGGTAGTTTTTTTTTTTTTTGGTAGAGGCATTTTTTTTATTATTATTTATTTGTTTGTTTGTTTTGTTTATACATGCACTGTGTACAGTCAGAAGTGCGGGAGGGTGAGAGAATTCACCAGAGCCAGAGCGGGGAGCAGAACAGGCAGAAGGACGAAGTACACTGCTGAGGGAGCAGCAGGCGGCAGGAGAGGTCTGCGCGCCATGTGGGACCCTCTTCCGGTGGCCGGGGAGCAGCCAGGGATCAAACCGGCACCACAGAGGCCACGGGCAGCTTCGCAACCCAGCGCTCAACCACTGCACCACCGGGAGGCCCTCATATGGTAGTTTTATTTGTATTTTTTGAGAAACATCATACTAGTTTCCTTAGTGGCTGCACCAATTTACATTCCCATTTCCTCGTGGGTAAATGCCCAGCCAAACAGGATTGGCCCAAAGCAAGGCCCAATAGCCTGCCTCACATCTAAGGCACCCTCTGGGCAGGGACCCATAGAAAAGGGTCAGAAACAGCCAGACAAGTCTGGGAGGAAAAGAGCAAAATCCAAATCAAGATAAAAGCTGCCATTGTGTGGGCCTCCCTGTTGGCGCAGTGGTTGAGTGCTGGGCTGCGAGGCTGCCACAGCCTCTGCACTGCCGGTTCATTCCCTGGCCGCTGGCGAGGGTCCCACAAAAAAAAAAAAAAAAGAAGCTGCCATTGTGAACCTCCCCGGGTCTCTCACCCACATCTGTTTCAACCAGGCCAGGACCAAGAAGCAAGCGTGGCTTCTTCACGTGTCTCTACTCCATGTGCCTCCTCCAGGGCTCCTCCTTGCTCCCCATCCTGCTTCCTTCCTTCCCCATTCTCCTCTCCAGCTTCTTCTCCTCCCTGCTCAGCTCCACCCTCCCTTGGGTGGGGCAAGTAACCTGGAAACTCCCCTTTTCCTGGGGACCACCTTGTTACAAAAACAGGGAAGGGAAGAACATGAGGGAATGCGGTGATGGTTCGAGGGTCATATGGTGGCGGGAGAACTATGGGAATTACAATGATGTAAGAAAAAAATTGATAAATTAATAAAAATAAATAAAATGATATTAAAAAAATTTTTTTCCTTCACCTTTGCCTAAGAGGCTTATAGTTTCAAGTCTCAGCTTTCTTCATCAACATGTGTATAGCTCTCTCTGCATTTCAAAGCACTTTCTGTTTTAAAACCTTAAAACAGAAGCCCCAGAAGAAAGTCTCTTGGTTAATACTAAGTCATGATGCTGGGCCCTGAGCCCTTTGGAGTTTAACTCCGGAGGTTAGAGGAGGGTGGGCACACTCTCCCTGGGACATGACCTTGGGGGTCATGCATCTGCCCTCCTCTAGCAGAAAGTGGCCAGTCCTACTGTCCCTGCAGTGCCACCTCCCTCCCATAACGGAACTTGCCTTATTATAGCTGATCCTTGAAGCCAAAGCTGCTGCTGTGCAGAGCAGATGTCAGGGACTGACAAGCAAAGCTTCAGGGTTTGTCTGAAACTCTTGTTGGCAGAAATGCCCAGGAGCCCCTAATGGGAGTGGGAGCGTGCCCTTCCGCTGACCTCCACCTTCCCACTGCTCCCTCAGAGCCACTGTCCACAGACCTTCAGTTCAAACCTGAAGGTCTTGTTCTGAAACTTATAAAATCATGCAAATGTCTCTTTAGCCCAAGGCAGTTGGTATTCATTGAATTAAACGTCATCCAAGAAGGCACCAAGGGCAGAGGGCCAGAGAGAAACTTAGGTACTTAGATGTAAGCAACTCACTGCCCCTCCCTGAATCTGGCTTCCCCCTCCATAAAATAAAAATAAAACTCTTTATAAGGTTGTCCATGAGGATTAGAACACAGTAGATATTCAATACACAATCCATCTCTCATTTTGTTTGAAAGATAGAAAGATAATAGCATTGAGGCCCCTGCCCTTGATCACAAGCAGTACAGAAACCAACAATGGAGAATGTTCCTTGGACCATACACTCTGGGCTGAGGGGCACGGAACGGGTCACCATGCTGGGTTGGCATTAACGTAGGTATCTTATGTAGCTTCGTGCTTTCTGCTGCTGAGCTGCGTAGGGGAAGTGGGTGCTTTCAAACTGGTAAAGAGAGGGAAGTATTTTAGTTTAGGGTCTATGCTACTCTGAGGGGGTATTTCAAGACAGAATCCATGCTATTCTGAGGGACATATTTCAAGGAAGGATCTGTGTACTGTGGTGGAGCATTTCAGGCCAGCATCTGTGTTACTAGGAAGGAGGGGCCAGGGTCAGAAGGTGAGGTATTGTGTGCATGCTGTGGGGAGAATTCTGACTGTATCCAAAGTTGGTAATAGGCCACTAGGAGGTGCAGTGGGCTCTTGAGCAGAGCCTTCCACCTCACAGGGGTGGAGAAGGATCACTGAGGTGGATAGGAGATCTTCATTTTCAATACAGAAATCTGGCTGCCTCAGGTAAGGAAGCATCTTAGTAAGAGCCCCCCACTACTGCTCCCAGGACTGCATTTCTTCTTCATCTGCTCCCCAATGAAGCATTCAGGAAGGCAGATCTATGAGTGTGTGGTGGTGGAGAGGAAGAGGGGGTCTAGATGAAAGCCTAAGGCAGACTTGTTTCAGAATTTGTCGGCAGCCTCTCTGTGGGCAGGAGAAGCTCTCCAAGTCAGGCACACAGACTCCTGGGTGCCCTCTCTCCAATGGGTCCCTTGGGGCTGGTGCTGGGAGCCGAGGAGCAGAGCCAGGGGAGAGCAGGAGGGTGGGAGAGTCATGGCGGTGAGGGGAAAAAATTCCCTCAGAGATTGAGGTCAACGGCTGCCTGAGAGGCAGAAGGGACAGGTTCTCAACTTGGACAGAATTTGGGTTGAAATGGTCATCTAACATGTTTCTGGAAGGGAGAAGGAGAATGGACTCTTTTGGGTGCTTTCTCTGTGACGGTTACTTTACACATAAAACCTTGTTGAATTTAATGTCCCACCAAAACTCTTTTCAAGCAAATCTGTCACTCAGCAAAGCTGAATTCCAGGAGTGTCCACCATATGCCCCTTTGGGCACGGTTTAGTGGGCCTGCCTCATGGAGCCCACGGTCACTGCAAGTGAATCCAAATCCAGACCCCACCACAGGCTGAGCCTGTGGCCTCTGTTTCACCCCTGACCTGGGGTGAAGTTGCTAGCTCAGGTCAAAGAGAGGTCAGCACCCCCCCAAGGGCTGCTGCTCCTTCTCAAAGCTGGAGTGGAAGCTTGATCATCAGGAAATATTTAGGGGTGGAGGGGCTCAAGTGAAAGAGGCCTAAAGACAAGAGTCTATCTGAATTTGAGGGATAAAAAGGGTTTCACTCCCAAAGCTGAAAGAATATCATTTCCCAACTATCTCAGAGTAAACAATTTTTCTTTTTTTCTTCACGTTTTAAGGGGAGCACTCACAGCTGTCCTCTGAGCAGCCCCTCATGTGCCTCTTCTCCCATTTCCTCAATCCTGGTTTAAAAACCCTTCTCCTGTCCCATCTTCGATGAGACTCGATTTCCTGATGTCCACATTTTTTCGTCTTTCCTCTTGAGACATGGAGCCTGTGCTCTGGACTCTATCTGAGGGGTCGTCTCTACGCCTCAGGAGAACCCTAGAAGGCAGGCATTGTTGTCCCCTTTAGAGGGATGAAGGTACCTGGCCTAGATGTCAGGTGAGGGGCACCAGTCAGAGGACATCCATTTAGCCTCTGAGGGCACACACAGGCCACCTGAGGTGACACGGGTTACCCTCCATGACCCTTCAAGGAGCCAGCCTATGAGGTGAGAAGGTCAGCCCTGCCCTTTTCTCCTATCTCCTGCCTTCTGTTTGTGCCCTTCTGCCTTCAGACATGTTACTTTGTTTCTCCCACTGCCCCACTCTCATTGGCCGGTGGAGGTGGCTCCCCACTGGCTTGGGGTACAGGGGCACACTGTGATTGGTCCTTACCCTGTGTGGTAGTCTGTCTTCTGGCCCTTGACAGCCTCACTCTGACTGGTGCCCTAGGCAGGTGACTCTGTCACCAGTCACCACCCTCTGGGCTGCCTGGTGTCCAGGGAGTAAGGACGTCTGTGCCCAGGGCCCACCTTCCTTCGTATGTGAGTACTCGCTAGATTAAACACAGAAAGATGCTCTTGGCCTTCTGGGAGACTATGTGCACACAGGTGTTCATGTACATATAGGTGTTTATGTGCAGGTGAGCGGATTCAAGCCCTATATCCGAATAGGTAAACATTTAGGTCTATGGCAAGCCTTTAATATGAGTATTTGTATGTATTACCGTGACCACCTACATACTTCTAGGAATGATTTTGGATATTTAATATATATATATATATATATATATCATCTGATAAGCCCAGGGGACCACAGAAGCTGCCTGCCCCTTCCAGGACGTGACCCAGTGTGTCGTGTGCATTTGCCTAGGGTGTGCCGATCAGAATGGGTGACATGCAAATGCTTTGTGGAACAAGCCTTTAAAATGATTGAAAATTTCTCAGGCTCGAAGAGGGTGAGGTCGTATTTTTATTGAGTCTAGGGAGTGTTTTTAAATGTCAGCTCTAAGCAAGGATGATGTGATGTTTTCATGAGGTATTTGGTAGGGAAAACGCTGTGCTTTATGAACAAGAAGTAATTCAATGAGGCGTGACAGTATGAATCTTCACAAAATGCCTTTTTCAAAGAACGCCTGAGAAGCTCTTCTCACTCCCCTAAACGGAAGGTTTTGCTCAGCAAGTTGAGCTGATGAATGGATTTGAGCGTAGGGACAAGTTTTTAAAAGGGAAAATATGTCAAACTAGTGTCATTCTTAGCATTATTCCGGTCCCCAGTTTCCACAGAATGACCTGTGGCAGTGACCTGACAGAGGGCAAAAAATTCAAATTTTAATCTACTTACAGACTTCTTCACCCCCTTTATCAAGGAAAGAAAGTACAGCCTCAGCAAAGACGTCACATGGCCGGTTACCATAGAGCTAAGGCCGCCACCCAGGTTCCAGCCAATCTGCAATCTGGGTGTCCCAGTTCACTCCGGCGATGGGGTAGTCCTCTCACCCCAGATCCTTAGCACTGGCTTCCTCCCACCCACCATGTCTGCACTGAATTTCCTCACTTCTCATAAGCTTCAGAGCTTCAGACGCTCTAACCTTCCCAACCCTCCAAACATGCCCAGGCTCCTGAGTCAAGTGAGGCTCTGCAGGGCAAACCCCGGGCAATTGGCCAGCATCACCTGGGAGAGCTTTTACAAGTGCATCAAATGTGTACCTGGCCCTGTGACTCTTTCCAAGAACAGAATCCATGAGGTGGCAAAAGCTTCCGACGCAGATGGAACTGGCTGCTATTCTTTCACCCCAGGCTTCTGCTCATCCCCATGCCTGGAAGATCTTGTCTTAATTAACTGTCCAAGCACGAGGAGGCTTAGCATTTCAGTCCAGGGGAAGCAGGCAGGGAAGGGAGTGTGGATTCATCCCACGCACCAGGACGCTGGGACCCAAGGATCCTGACCAAGGACTTAGTGATTTGTTGGCAAAACAAGATTAAGTTAGAAGCATGTGGATGGGGACCTGGAAACTTCTTAGAGGATGGGGACTTGAACAGGGAACTGAGGGACAACTTGACTCTACAGATCGATGAGGGTGGGAGTGGGGAGCGGAGAGGGGGTTAGCATTCTGGGTGGGAGGAAAAGCAGCGAGCCTGGGCAGGAGAGCAAAGTGTCTTTTGTTAGTGTAGGAAAGAGAAATGTGAGGTGCTGACAAGACCGTCCAAATGCAGTGTTCAGCCCCGGGCCTCTCCCAGAGGGGTCTCAGCCTATGCTCTCCACACAGCTCCAGTTCCTTATACTTTTGGAAAGTTTTCTGCACAAGCTTTGTACTTGCATAGGGTTTTTAGGGGAAAAAAGTTTTTTCTTTCTGTTTTTGTTTTGCTTTTAAATGAAAGGTCACTTCTTGATCTCGTTTTGTATAGATCCCCATTCCTTGGGAGAATGCCAACCCGGGAAGGTGGAAGGAGAATCCCGTGCTCCCTCCCTTCCCCTATCCAAGCCTGGGCGGTGGCACTTGTCCTGGCTGAGCCATGCCCTCACGGGGATCACAGGGCCCGGCAGGACAGGTCTCACAGTCATTGCCACCAAAAGCTTGGCCTAAAAATAGCCCTGTCAGGGTCACGTGCAGGTCAATACAGGGAGCTAGAGAAGATGCCTTCGGGGAATCAGCAAGTTATTCCCAGTGGCAAGTAGGATGTAGCACTTATGGGTAGGGTATTTATTTTTTATTATTTTTTAAAGATTGTATTGATTTTTGCGTAAGAGAATTGGGGTACAGGCCAGATGCACAGGGGGTGAGAGGATTCACCAGAGACAGAGCAGGGAGCAGAACAGGCAGACTGACTGAAATACACTGCTGAGGGGAGCAGCGGGCAAGTCAGGAGAGGTCTGCTGCGCCACGTGGGTAGCTCCCTGCCTGGGGCTCGAACTCAGGCCTTCGTGGCAGGCCACTAGGGAGGCCCTATGTGTAGGAGATTTAAAACTTGCATGAGGTCAAACCAAGTTCAACATCTCTGTGGCTTGATTCTCCCCTTAAAGCAGAGTGGAAAGTTTCTCCCATTGTCTCCCAGCTCCTGACAGAGGGGGTCGCCAAATGGGGTGAAGTGGAGGTCACAGTTCCAAGCAGCCGGCGGGATTGCCATGGCTCTGCCTTTACCCCTAACAACTGCAGTCAGGGCCGCCCCCTATAGGCAAGGCAAAGGCCTGCACCCTTATCCGTGTGTCCAGCTGCACAGCCATCCAGACATTCCAGGAGTGTGTTGGGGCAGAAGCCTGGAAGGAAACGGGATAGTGGGTGTTGGCACTGGGAGAGCTCCAGGTTCCCCACTAGCCTAAAGGCCTTTGGTAGAGTATTCCTAGACTGCTAGAGGTTTCAGATCGTGGTATACTCACCTCTGTTCACATGTTGACATGCCCTGGTGTCCAGGCACATTCATTTCTCTTTAAACAAGAAACCTGTGTTCTTGGGTTCAAAAGGCTTTCCTCTCCCCCGAGGCAGCTCAAAACTTTCACTGGTTCCCATGGAAGATTTGTTGGCATCTGGAAATTGCAGACTATAAAGGTGTGACAGCTGATGTAACCGAGGCCTGGGCTGGAAGGGCTGCGGCAGATTGCACACTGACCTCCCCACCCGGGTGCTGTAGCTCCTGCTAATAAATGTTGACTCCCTGACAGGGGTCAATGAGCCACGTGTGTTTTCCTGCCACCATTCTGAGAGCTAACCCAAGGAAGAAGACGCTGGTGAAGAGCTTATCCTTGGTGGGAGATTTGCTTTCTGACCTCAAAAGGTCAGAAGTCCCACATCACTGTCTCTGTGGCCATTCTCTCCCTAAAATGAAGTGCTGCACCTCCCCCTGCTGTGCTGGTCCGCGGCAAGGAAGTTTTCTTCTGCCTCCTCCCTTGCTCTTCTCTCAAAGGAGAAGAGCCATGGCTATTTGAGAATTCTATGGGGATGTAGACCCAGGTAGAGTCTCAGAATCACCCAGGAATATGCTGCCCACCAGCTGCCCGGGGCCACCCCAGTGAGCCCAGATCCAGGGGTTTCAAGGCAGGTGCATCTTCCCAGCCTCCCCAGCAGATGCTGACCCAGGCCATGCCTTGTCCCTGTGCCCAGGACTGAATTAGAGGAAAGTGGGGTCGCAGAGACCCCTCATTCCAAATCACTCAAAGCCCCAGCAGTGAGTGCCAGCTGGGACACAGAGGTGATGGAGACAGTCCCTCTGTTGACAGAGGCAGTAGAGCAGAGACGGGAACGTTTTCTCTGGGTGGTGGGTGAGCATCCAACCTCCGTCCATGGTTCAAGCAAGAAGAGACCCTGGACCCCGTTTCTGGTTAAAAGGGCTACTTCTAAGTCCCAGAATCTCTTCTAAGGAAGAGGCTTATGTCACTCCAGTGACATGTACCATCTTTAGAGCCCTCTAGAAGCAAGACCAGACATACCCAATTCCACGTCTCATGGACACGTGACTTTTCACTTTCACAGGGAGAAGAGTTCATTCTCCCATTTGCTGTTCCAAGTGTGATAAATAGATATACAGGGAAGTTAGCAAATGTAGAGTGTACACGCTGGATTTTTTATCCTATGTCTAGACTCCAGTCATCACTATGCAGCCCAAACAGCAGTGCATTCTTTCTTTTACTCTTTTTTTAAGATTTATTTATTTATGCACACAAGAACTGGGTACAGGCCAGAGATGCATGGGGGTGAGAGGATTCACCAGAGACAGAGTAGGGAACAGAGCAGGCAGACCCGGGCCTCCCTGGTGGCGCAAGGGATTAAGCACTGCACTATGAAGCAATATGTAGCCACTGCAGCATGAGTTTGATCCCTGGCCAGCCAGGGAGAAACCCACATGGTGCAGCAGACCTCTCTTGTCTCACCTGCTGCTCCTCTCAGCAGTGTATTTCATTCAGTCTGCCTGTTCTGGTCCCCGCTCTGTCTCTGGTGAGTCCTCTTACATCCCGCATCTCTGGCCTGTACCCCAGCTCTTGTATGCATAAATAAATAAATCTTTAAAAAAAAAAAAAAAAAGAACAGGCAGATTGACTGAAATACACTGCTGAGGGGAGCAGTGGGCGAGACAGGAGAGGTCTGCTGCGCCATGTGGGTTGCTCCCTGGCCAGCCAGGATCGAACTCGTGCTGCAGAGGCTGCGTATTGCTTCATAGCGCGGTGCTTAGCCCCTTGTGCCACCAGGGAGGCCCCCCAAAGAGCAGCGCATTCTTAAGACAGGAAAGAAGGCCAAGAACAACACACCCCTCATCAGTTTTTAATAGTAAGGAATGAGGTCCTGGGGTGTGGTTTACTCTCCTTGGTCACAGCAATCAGTGACCAAATGTCTGCGGAGTACCTGTAATGTTCTGGAAACTTCCTGGTATAAGACAGCAGCAGCCCTCCACTTAAGTCAAGAGTCAGTGGCTTGTGTTTTTAGGAGAGGAGCTGACATAATAGATGTTGTGTCATCAGTTACTGACTCTGAATCTCGTTGATGATATTCATCGATTTGAGACATTTTACTTGGGAGTCAATCCCCTTTTCTGCTTGTCTTCCTTAATACTACATCTTCATCATTTTGAGCCTCCTCCCCAAACCTAATCTTATGTTGCAGCTACCAATGGCGACGGCTGAAGAAGGCAGTAACCCCCGGGGCAGAGCAACGGCCCGGCCGCAGGTACAGCTGCAGGAGCTCGAGCCCCGAGTGGCCCGCAGACGCCTGTCCCAGGCCCGCCACCGGGCCACCCTGGCTGGGCTCTTCTCCAAGCTCAGGGAGACCGTCTACTCCCAGTCTGAACTCACAGCCTCAAAGGTAGGATCCAGTGGGGACAGGCCTGGAGCTGTCACCCCGACCAGTGCCACCCCCAAGGGCTGCAGCCGAGGTGGGGTCAGCCCTCAGCTGTGGATGCTTCACGGTGCTTTCTGCTGCCACTCGTGGGTGAAGCCTGAGAGCCGGGCCTGACCCACCTGCTGCCTGGTCAGAAGGGAAACATCGGGCCTGAGAGACCCGGTTAACCAGTGGCGTCTGTGCCTCACCTTGTCGTGGGCCTAGGTGAGCCTCCAGCTGCTCCCAGGCCCCTCATCCCCCCATACAGCATATACACACCCACACCCACAGCCGGGCACACTGTCAGCCTGGGGCGCAGCCAGGCCTTGGCCCTAAGCAAGTGGCCTTATCTTTCCCTGCTCTTAATCTCACCTCTTTGGTCTACACGGCTGTCTTTATTGCTGACCAGGGTCTCTGGCAGTGCCTCAGGGAAGGCTTGGGTGGTAGTACAAAGGGAGGAAGCATTGCAGGAAGTAGGAGAAGATTGGTCCCTGAGTTGCTGGCAGGAACTAAATTGGAGGTAGCCCCAGTTTCTGGCTCCAGCTTCGCTCTCTTCCCACCATCCTTTCTACACCGGAGGCTCCGGCTCACGCGAGGCCCTTCCTGCATGGGGCCCTTCAGCAGGGTGGCTCATTGCAAGGATGATGTGCTTCCTGCTTACGGGCTGGTGCAGGATCCTGGTCGAGGGCGGGGGCAGGGGTGGGAGAGCTCCGTGGTGGGTCAGGGTCTTCGTGGCCCTTAGGGGAAGGCGCCCCCTGAACAGCCCATGCAGGTTCCAAGTAGGACCACATTTGTGTTTAACTGAAGAGTCTTAATGGAGACCCTCCTGCCCTTGCAGAGGGTGAGGTGGAAAGTGGGGGGTGAGAGGGGAGGGATGTGCTGCTCTTCCTTTCTCTGTTGAGGCTGGATGCTGAGCCAGCTCCAGGGGCTCAGAACTAAGGGCTCGGGTCTGCGGGGTGGGGAACATCCTATATCTTGACCTCACAGCAAAGAACCTGGACATAGCTCTGCCATGTCCCCTGGAGGGGGCAGATGTCTCCTGTGGGTGTGATAAAACCCCAGAGGCCCTGTCAGTGGCCAAAGTAGTGTGCCCAGCAGCAAGTCCACCAGCAACGGCATTCAGGGCCGCCAGTGGGAAGTGGGAGGAAATGGAGAGGAAAATCATTTGCACCCCCGAAAATCTGTACCTCCATAGGTCATGGTGGAGAGCCCGGCTGTTATCTGGCCGTGGTTCCTGTGAGGCCAGTTAGCTGCTAAGCTTCAGTTAACACCGCGACTACCCGGGGACAGATGGGTCCTCCGAGGCCTGATGGGGAGGTTAATATGATAATTGCGTGAAAAGCTGTAGCTCTGTCATAAGGGGTTCAAATGTTAGTATCGTTTCCCAAGGTGTGACCTCGCTTGCTCTTTTCATATCACCCACATTTTACTGATGAGGAAACCCGAGGCTGCAGAAAGTTAATTTGCCTGGAATGGCACAGCCCGGGGACAGTCTAGAAACCAGGTCAGCTCCATTTTCTCCTCTCTCTGCCTGAGGGACAACCCTGAATTCTGCATTTGTAGCACCCATGAAGAAAAAGATTTTTTTTCCCCAGCGTGTCGGTGTAGCAAGGTCACGTTGGTTTCCGAGGACTGAATGCCAGAAGCTGGTAACTTCAAACACCAGAAATGTATCGTCTCACAGTTTTGGAGGCTGGAAGTCCCACGTCAAGGGGTCCAGGGGCCATGACTCTTATTCCTTTTTAAGCTTCTAGCATTTTCCAGCAAAGCTTGGCATTCCATGGCTCACAGATGCTGTTCCTCCTGCCCTGTGTCTTCACATCACCTTCCCAGTGTGGGTCGGCTCTACATCCAAATGTCCTCTGTTTACAAGGACACCAGTCACATTGGGTTAGGGCTTTGCTGGCCTCATTTTAACTTGACCACCTCTCTAAAGTCCTGGTTTACAAATTAGTCCCCATTCACGGTTCTGGAATTAGGACTTCAACAAGTCTATTTGAGGGAACACAATTCTACCCAGAACAGAGGTGCTGAGGATGTCAGCCTGTCAAAAACATTCTAGAAACAGAGTTTCAAGGAATGGTGCCTGGCTTCCTGGCCCTGCCTGCTAACTGATGTGAGTGCGGTGTGGGCCTGCTGAGCCGGCGCCGGTAAACAGCCCTGGACCACACCCTGACCAGAAACAAGTGGCCCTGGCAACAGAGGAGGCATCGGAGTCCTTGCTGGCCCAGCAGAGTGACCATGAGCCCCAGGACTGGGGGCGCTGGGGCAGCAGACTGCGTGGGACGTCAAGTGAACCAGATGTGGAGTCTGCAATCACCTGTATTCTCACGTTGCTGTCCTCTGGGTCAGGAGAGTGCTTGCTTCTAGCTCCCTTCAAACCTCCATTTTGTTCACTAGGCAGAATCCGCTTGAATCTGGAAGGATGACCCCCGGCCGCCTGCAGGCGTCAGCATCCCCTCCCGCCACCCAACCTGTGTGAGGCCTGCGTGCCCAGCCTCTGCCCTTGCTCCTGCAGCTTGAGAGTCTGTGTGCACTTTGGAGCTCAGCTCGACTTGCTCCGCTCAGTTGCCCTGTTCTAGTGTCTTCTCCAGCCCTCCATTTGGAATCACTCCCTCCTCCCAGGCGTTTCCACGGCCCTTTGCTTCTAGCCCTTTGTGGCACTTACTTGATTCCAGCTGGTGTTACAAGCAGTGGCTGCCGTGCTTGTCATCCCTGCTAGCACATCCACTAACCTGGACGCAGGGCAGTCTTATTGACCCATGAGCCCGGGCTTAGAGACAGGCCTGATGTGTGGCTGGCACTCCTGATGGGGCTGGTGGGCAGCACACAAACAGAATGAATAGGCTCTCAGAATAGGCTGAACACCTCTATCAGGGGCCAGTTCTAAACAGGTGGGGATGTGGTTTGTGTGCTGGGTTTTTGGTTTGTTCCTCTATTTAGGAGTGAGATAGCCATGTTGTTGAGCAAGCTGGGCCTTGGTTTTCTGAGTCAGCATGCTATTTCTTGAAGGCCATACCTGGTCCATAGCTGCTAAGGGGGCTGACCCCCCTCTCAGACCTTGGTTTTTGAATAATCTTGCAGTTTCTCATTTTTGAATAATCTTGCAGTTACCATTTTGACTGTGGTGATATTTTATACAGGAGAGAAGGAAGGGGGGGCAGGGGGGGCGGGAGGGTCACAGAGGGAGGAGAAGGGAGGATGAGAGGAAGAAAGGAGAAAGAAAGGCAGGAGGTAGGAGGCGACCTGTGAGTCTTGCGGGACAGGATATTTAGAGTTCCAAGCTGAGGCCAAGATTTTAGCTCTTCTGGTGTGTATGCACCTAGCAAATAAAAATATCCTGTTAGAATAGCACATTTACTGGGGTGATGGGCAAATATTCATTCTCAGAGCCTTTCTGTCACCATTAACCCTACCTTCAAGTGGTGTAAAGACTTATTTGCCTTCTTTCAGCTTAATTATCTCCCAAAGCTTTAGGATTTTGGCAAGCACAGTTTCCAGGATTCAGAGGAAAATGTCTTGCCTTCTTGGCATCAGAACGAGCTTCTTGTTCTTTTTACCAACAAGGTCAGAGACTTGCCTTGTGCAGGGAGGGTCCTCTGGGGTCCACAAACCAGCCCCTGCAGTGGAAGGCCAGCTTGTCAGCATTGTCTGTCTCTGTTCTCAGTGGCAGGTTTTAAATAAGGCGAAGACTCATATTCAGGACCTGGAACACACTTTGGACAGTCTGCTGAAGCTGAAAGGTAATAGGTCCCTACCTGCCACCAGGGGGCGCTAGTTTACCTGTCTGTTGAAAACCCATTGGGTTAAACCTAGCGAGGTGACATGTATTGAGGTCCTACTGTGTGCCAGGTGCTGTGCTTGGTCCGGGGGTGTGATGAGATTCACATCCAGCCCTCCAGGAGCTTGCAGCCTGGAAGGACAGGCAGTCATCTGTCTGTTGAGATGTTGGGGTTCTGGGGAAGCTTCCTGATCTCATCTTGCGAGCCAGAGAAGAACCGTACTGGCGCCCGTCGGACTCAACAGCAAAGAGCAGAATCCGGCTCCCTCCTTGGTACCCAGAGAGATGGCTGGAACGGAATTTGGGTTTAATAAGTGATACTTCTGATATCTTGATGGAGAAGAGCCGGTTCAAGAAGCCCTTTTCTCTGGCCTAGTGCTCTCCCCTGGCATCTAGAAGAAGAGGAGGCAGCTAGCTCTGAATGTGGGTGGGCTCGGGGGTCACCAGACCACTCTCTTACCCCTTGTGATCCTGACCTTCCAATCCCCAATAGAAGCCTTCTTCCTGGAGGATGGGAACGCAAACAGCCTAGAAGAGGTCAAGGAAGAATATGCCAGAATGTACTATCAAAATCACAGGTAAGGCACACAAGCACCAGGAGAATCGGAGCTGCTTGCTGTTCTTTTTCTGCTTGGCTGTGTCACAGTCGCTCAACTTCTCCCTCCAGGATTTGGAGCAGAGTGAGGGGTGCTGCTAAGTTATCTAGAACCGTGTTGTGCTGGTGAGCTTCCTTTGCTGTTTCATGATTGTCACCTGCATTGGCTCTTTTTCTGGATATAAAAATAATCCATACTTATGACAGAAAATATCAAAAATATAGAAAAAGGCCCAAAAGAAAATAAAAATACGGGTCATCTCATTTCTCAAGTAAACTGATGTTAATTTGGAAGAATATCCTTTCAGTTTCTGTAATTTTGCATAGTATTTTATAGAGATACAAGGTCATAGGGTTCATAGTGTATTAATAGCTTTAGAAAAACTCAACCAATGGCTTCATTGAAGAAAACCCAAATTTCCTTCATTAAGGAAAACCCAAATCTCTGCCTATTTTCCAAGTTTCAGAGGGATCTAGAAAGTCAAATGAAACTCAGAAAGGCAATGAATGCAGAGATGCTGAAAGGGAACCCCACTTATCATGCCCCACTTGAAACTTGGAAGCAGAGGTTGGTTGGAGAAAGGTCTTTCTCAAATCTTATGATCTCACTTTTTATATTTAGCTCTAGGATGAATTTTGGGTCCATAAACGCTGTGCTGGGCACGCCCCCCACCCCTTCCCCATGTCCCATCCCGCCAAGCTGCTTCCTGGGGGGGATTCTGGGGCAGTGGCGGGGTCCTTCTTGTCTGGGGACCCCAGCACAGTATACCCAGCTTGGCCCTGGTTAGGCACAGGAGTAGAAACAAATTCACTCGCCCTGCAAATAGGATGGCAAACGGCCTAGAGCCTGTCTCGACCTGAGAGTTTACTGATGACTTTTATTTTTTTCTCTGTGCTTTTCTGTATTTTCCGAATCTTTTAAACAATGAATGTTTCCTAAGGGAAATGATGGTGGGAGGGGTGATAAATTATGAATGTTAGGTCAACAATTCACTTCCCTTACTGGTTAAAATATAAACTTTATCACCTACTAAAATCTTATCCATGTTTGTGTCACTTGCCCACGTGAGGATGGCTAAATTTCTTTAAAAAGTATAACAATCAGGGAAGCTTTTCACTAGGAATATTCCAAACCAGCATTAATCAAAACTGTTCATCAGCACAGGAATAGATTATGTTTTCTAATTATTATATGTTAGTGCATTCCATTAGGAGGGAGCTTAAGCATCTTTGTACTTACGTTTTCCTCCCTGGGGATTTTTTAAAAAAGATTTATTGATTTATACATACAAGAGCTGGGGTACAGGCCAGAGATGCAGGGGGTGAGAGGACTCACCAGAGACAGAGCGGGGAGCAGAACAGGCAGACTGACTGAAGTACACTGCTGAGGGGAGCAGGGGCGAGACAGAGGTCTGCTGCACCATGTGGGTAGCTCCCTGGCCTGCCAGGGATTGAACTCATGCTGCAGAGGCTGTGGATTGCTTCATAGTGCGGTTGCTTAACCCCTTGTGCCACCAGAGACTCTGGGGATTTTTTGTATCTCTCTTTTGCCCATTTTCCTGTTGGACTGGGGGCCTTTTCTTTATTTAATGGTAGGTTTCTTAGCATGTCCTGAGAAATTAGCTCTTTGTAGTAGATGACTTGCACACAATTTTCCCTTCATTATTGGTTTTATTATTTTGCTTTTGATGTTTTGGGCAGAAAAAAAGTCTAGGCTACCCATCTGTTTTGACGCCTGTTTGGTGGAATAGTTAGGAAGGTTTCCTCTGTTCTGAGATTTAAAAAGTAATAGTAAAAAGAATCCACTGATGTTTCGTCTGATATGCTTGATTTTTAACTCAGAGGAAACCTTGGAGTCACTTCTCTCAGTATGAAGAGATTCTGGGTCCAAGTCCTGGTTTTTCAAATTGCTTTATTATCTTAAAAGGGTCTTTAAAACAACAACATTTTAAATTTTTGATGAAGTCCTACTAACCCAGTTTTTCTTTCACAGATTGGGCTTTTTAAGCTAAGTGTAAAACTAAGTCTCAAACTTAATCATTTCATGTTTTTTGGTGTGATCGCAGGTGGGACTTCTTAAATTTCCACTTGGCAATTGTTCACTTCCTAATGATGAAAATTACTGATTTTTGTGTATTGAAGTTTGTGGTCTGCAACCTGGCTAAACTCCCCACTCAGTAGAGTCACATATTTGTAGATTCTCGGGGATTTTCAACAAAACATCAGCACTCTGTTTACAAATATAGACAATTTACTTCTTCCCTCCCAATTCAGTACCTCTTATTTCTCTTGTTCACCTATTGGGCTGGCTAGAAACCTTCAGCACAGTTTTGAACAGAAATAATGAGAGAGCGGGCCTCCCCGGTGGCGCAGCGGTTGAGCGCTGGGTTGCGAAGCTGCCCGCAGCCTCTGCGGCGCCGGTTCGATCCCCGGCCACCAGGTGAGGGTCCCACATGGCGCGCAGACCTCTCCTGCCGCCCGCTGCTCCCCTCAGCAGTGTACTTCGGTCCTTCTGCCTGCTCTGCTCCCCGCTCTGGCTCTGGTGAATTCTCTCACCCTCCCGCGCTTCTGACTGTACCCAGTGCTTGTATAAACAAAACAAACAAACAAATAAATAAATAATACATGCCTCTTTAAAAAAAAAAAAATAATAATGAGAGTGGACATCCTGGTCTGGTTCTTGCTTTCAAAGGAGAAACTCAGTCTTTTACTGTTAAGTATGGCATGACTTGTAGGCTTGGGGATATGCTTTTATCAAGTGTAGGTTCTCTTCTCTTGCTAGTTTTCGCAGTTTTTGTCATGAATGGATGCAAATTTTGCCAAGTACTTTTCTGCATCTATTGGGATAATTTGGTTTTTCTTCTTCAGTCTGTTGAGACGGTGAGTTCCACTGACTGATGAGAGCCATCTTGCACTTGCAGGATAAACCCCACTTGGTCATGACATATTAGCATAAATGCTTCTGTCAACGTATATGTCACTATCAATTATTTGTCTGTCTATACTTCAGTGTTGACGTTCATGAGCGACATCAGTCTCTAGTTACCAGTTTCTGTTTTCTCCCCCAGCCTGTTTGCTCCCCCAGTTCATCAGCCTGACTCTGCCACCTGGTACCCCTTCGAGGTAGTCGGGAAGGAAGAGGAGGCGGAAGAGGGGGAAGACCAGGAAGAGGAAGAGGAAGGGGAAGAGGAATTGCTGGAGGAGGAAGAGAAGAAAGTGGAGACGTTTCAGTCTCCCATCACCTTGACCCCAGACCTCATGGAATTTGAACGGTGTGAACAGCTGGGAAGGGTGTGGCTTCGCGCCCCGCGGGGCAGGAGCTCCAGGGAAAGGGGCTCCAGCCAGGGCAGGGGCGGGGGCACCCTGCAGCCTCAGTGCACTGACACCAGGCCCTGAATCCTGGAAGCGTGTGTTTCCACGTAGGAGAAGCTGGGGCGGGGGGTTGGGGGGGATCTGCAGAGGGGCCAGTGCAATCACCTTAGTGCAATCACCTTGAAGCTGCATTCACCCGCCACATACACAGGGTCACTCAGTCTGGGTGCTGAGCAGATTCCCCAGCTATCCTTGAGGGGCGGTTGATGGGGATGAAGAGAACTAAGTTCCTGCCCGAGTCTGCTTCCGACAGCATTACTGGTCTTAGAGTGAGAAAGATGGTGAATGGCCGGCATGGACTCCACGGCTACTCACTTCCCCTCCGCAGACTGGAGACCCTCAGCAGCCAGGTTGACTTCCAGAAGCGGTGACTCCACTCCAGAAGGAGACTCGCGCCACCGCCCAGCCTCACTTTCAGGCCTCAGATTAAAGCGGCATCTCATGGGTGCACACTCATGAGCTAGGAGATTTAGGGGGTTCCCGTGGCGAGAGAGCTGAGCCAGACACGCAGCCCATCTATCAGGCAGCCGGCTCCTGGAGTGGGGGGTGCGCACTGGGAGGACTTGCGGGGGAGGGCCGAGGCATAAATCTGTGTCATCCACACCCCCCAAGGTGGTTTCTGATCTGCAGAGACCAAGGGCTTGCAGAGACTAGTGACTCTAAGCCCGGGGTAAAGCTCGGAGCTGTGGCAAGGCCCCCAGACCGCCGTGGGCCTGCAGGAAATGACTTGGGGCGGGGCCTCCAACTGCAGCTTCAGGTCTGGGAGATGCTGTCCTTGCTGTTCCAGGTATCTCAACTTTTACAAGCAGACGATGGATCTTCTGACTGCAAGCGGGGTCGTCTCCTTGGGGGAGGTGACACTCCCCATAGTCTCTGCGGCCATCTCCCACCTGTGGCAGAACCTCTCTGAGGAGTGGAAGGCCAGTCTCCTGCAGGCCTGGCTGCAGAAGCACAGCGGCCTCCCGGGCCTCATAGCGGCCGGGCAGGAGCCAGCAGGGACCCAGGGCAGCATGAGGGACAGTGGTGTGGACAGCCAAGGGGCCAGCTGCTCGCTCGTCTCCACCCCAGAGAGGTGAGCAGACCTCGGGTGGCGTAGGGGGTGCAAAGGAGTCCTGTCACCCCAGGCCTGGAAACACCAGGGATCTGCTTGGGGTCAAATCTGAGGCCCTGTCTGGATCAGGCTCTCACTTTAGGTTTCTGGTTTTCCCGACATAATCTCCATGACCATGAACAGCAATTCTTTCTCTCCTGTTACTTTCCTGGACTTTCCATGGGGATTATGGAAGAGGCGCTTAGAAGGCTACAATGGTTGGGATTCTTGTGGCTGCAAGTGACCTCCTCATTAAACCATGAGGAAATGTGCTTCTCGCACAGGGAGGCCCCGAGGCAGGACAGGCTCCCTGCCAGTCTCTGGCCTGTCATCATGGACTCAGGGGCCTCTCTTTTCTGTAAGCTGCTTCACCTTAAGGCTGGTTTCTTGCCTTTTCTCCCCTCCCCAGCACTCCCACCTCCTGGGGCTGTGGAGTAGCAGTTGTAGCATGCCCTTTGGGGATGAAGGGCAAAGAGAAAGCCTTTCAACAGGCAGACTGAGAAATACACTGTATCTCCCTCAGCAGCCGAGAGCTGTGTCCAGTAGCAGTGATTCCTGACACAGACTGTGCTTTCTTTAGATCCTTTTTGAAGATGCCTTTGATGTGGCAAGTTTTCTGGACAAAAATGAGCCTCCAAGTACCTCTAGCTCCAGGTGAGGAAGGGGTGTGAGACAACATGTGTGATTGATTGTGTGTGTATCAGTGTGTATGACTGTGTCTTAGTGTATGAGTGTATATGTGAGGGTGAGTATACATGAGTGTGTATATAAGGGAACGTGGACAAGTGAATGTATATGTGTACGAGTGTGTACAAGTGTGTGTGTTTGTGTATCTGTGAGTGTGTAAGAGCATATGTGTGTGTATTTACCCCTGCTGGGATGTTTAGGGGCCTCTCCCCTGCTGCCCTCAGTGGGATGCATAATTCAGGGGAAGTTCTTAGAAATCATTTTTTTCTGTGATTCTAAATGGGCTGGCCCCAGGATTGTGCCACTGCGTAGAGGTGACCTTGTCTGGGGCTTCTTTAGAGTGGAAAGTTCTTCCATGCTGGTCCAGGGCAGAGGCAGAACAGGTTATCAACTCCAGGTGGCACTGTTTTCCAGGGTGAGGTGCTGAGCTTGGTGGGGAGAACAGCCTGTGTGGGGAGGGCAGGGGCTTTGGGGCAGGGAGAACATGCCCTGAGCTTATTGTGGGGGATGCGGGCGGTGCTCTGCTTGGGGAGCTGCTGTTCAGGATGTGATGGGCGTGGATGAGGGAGAAGCGGTGGAGGGGAGGGTTGAGCCCACCAAGTGAGAAGACACGAAATAGAATCTGGGGAGATTCTAGAACCAAAAGCAACTTGACTAAATCTGTACCTCAGGGGTGTATTCTCAGAGGGAACTAGTTTAGGGCTGGAGTCTCCTGCTACTTGGTTTGAAAATCTATGGCCAGTATGGCTTGAGGACACAGGCCCTTCAGATACCAATAGTGTGTCATGAATACAAAGGAGCGTAAACATCTTTTTTCTGCCCTGGAGTCAGGGAGACATTCATGTCTTCATCCCAATGAAACCTCCATTCTCCTGGTCCCCAAGTGGGCTGTGCACTGGGCTGTCCCAGAGAGCTGGCTGCCTGCAGGCCCCTCAACACCAGCATTCTCCCTCCTCCCCACCTGCCCCTCTAGGCCTGTACAGAGAGGGAGACTCAAGGCTTCCAAAGGAGAGTCTGGTCCTCTCCAGAGTGACTTTTTTTTTTAAAGATTTCTTTTTTATTTATACAAGTGCTGGGGTATAGGCCAGAGGCGTGGGAGGGTGAGAGGATTCACCAGAGACAGAATGGGGAACAGAACAGGCAGAATGACGAAATACTGCTGAGGGGAGCAGTGGGCGAGGCAGGAGAGGTCTGCCGCACCATGTGGGTATCTCCCTGGCCAGCCGGGAATCAAACCTGCGCTACAGAGGCTGAGAAAAGCTTCACAGCACTGTGCTCAACCCGCTGCACCACGGGGGAGGCCCTCTCCAGAGTGACTTTATGCAGGCACCCAAGCTCTTCTCAGCTGTGTGTGGGCTTGAGTTTTGCTGGAATTAGCTGGAGGCAGACATTCCTCCTCTGAGCTGGGCTCAGGCTGTGAAGACAACTGCTGAAGTGCGCTTGCCAGTACTTGGAACCCTCATCCTGCTCCCAGGCCACAAAAACAACCTATTAAAAAACCTTTTTTCTACTTGCCCTAGAAAAGGAAGGGGTTGCTGCCAGACGGTTCCTAAGCTGACTAAGGACCGCTTTCCAGGAGGACCTGCGGTCTCAGGCCTCCATCCTGGCCCAACTTGCAGGTTCTTTGCCCTCTGACCGTACTCCTGGGGCTTCTCCCCTGGTCCCAGGGAGCTGGTCTGCACACAGTCCTTCTTCGGGGCCCTCGGTCTGAGTTGGACCTACTGGGTGGCAGCATCTCACGGGATGGCATGAAAATGGGCCAGTGGTGCCTGAGCAGCTCTGCATCCCTGGGTGGGCAGACCCGGGGCATCGCTGCAGAGGTCGACTCCCTTTCTCCCTTGTTGCAAGGCCACAGCTCAGACACTGAGTTAGGGCTCAGGAGCCCACCCCCTAAAGGCTGGCTTTCCCAGAGGGTGCCAGACAGAACGCAGGAAGCCACACAAACCTGCCAGGAACGACACTGGGCTGCCTGACCCAGGGTTCAGCTGGGTGTTTCAAGTGCTTGGTTCACACTGTAATCCTAGTATTTTAGGAGGTACAGCTGAGGTAAAAGAGTAGGGTGCTAAATATCTGTTGTTTCTTCTTCCTTTCTGTTGTCAGTTCTCTGCTTACTAGCAGCAACCCAGAAAATCCAGAAGAGAAGTTTCAGCTCTATATGCAGATCATTGAATTTTTTAAGGGCCTTTGCTGTATTAACATGACCATCAAGGAGGTACGACAAGGCAGGGGGCAATGAGACCACATTCCCCTCCCTCAGGACGGCAGAGGCAACCCTTGAACGGTGTCCTAGCTGGACCTCACTCAGGTCACACCCCCAGGGCCATAGCCAGGGGACTTCCTTCCATGCTCTCTGGCCTGCTCCAGCGACAGGCAATTTGGGCTGTCCAGGGAAATGAAGGTTGTCCAGGGAAACTGAGGCTAGCGACAGAGGGGATGCTCTCCAGGGAAGACCCCAGGCTGGGGATCCCTTGACATTTCTCCAGGTGGTGAGACTCCTTGACACCCTCCCAGGAGGCCACACTCCATCACCTGAGACTCTGGGGTAAATCTGCTGTTAATGTTTGAAGCATATTAATTTCTGCTTCCAAAAATTGTGAGATGTATGGTGACATAGGAGTGACACATAACTGTACAACTGAAGCTATTCGGGGCGAGATAGGACTGGGGCATGCATGAGATGGTGGGGCCTTCTCATCTGCTTGGGGCCTGGAGTCCTTAAATAAAAATGTAAGCCTCCTCTACCCCATGTTTTGCAGGAACCAGACCTTCCCCTTGATGATGAGATGATAATGTTGAGATGCTTGGAGACCTTTGATGATGAAGATATGTGATGCAGATAGGCTGCGAGAGGAAGGGAATGAATAAAGGTGGATAGTTTTCTAGTTTGACTGCAGGTTGCCAAGTTTCAACTGACTTAACTTCTGGGAAATTCTGGGGTAGGCTGACCCAGAGAATTGTGATAGTTTTCGTTTCTGACTATTATAAAGTATTTTAAGAATGGTGTTGCTCGGGGGCCTCCCTGGTGGTGCAGGCAGTTGAGTGCCGCACTGTGAAGCTGTCCGCAGCCCCTGCAGTGTTGTTTCGATCCTGGCCGGCAGGCAAGAAACCCACATGGTGAAACAGACCTCTCCTGTCTTGCTCGCTGCTCCCCTCAGCAGTGTATTTCGTCAGTTTGCTTGTTCTGTTCCCCGCTTTGTCTCCGGTGAATCCTTCACCCTCCTGCACATCTGGCCTGTACCCCAGTTCTTGTTTAAAAATAAATAAATCTTAAAAAAAAAAAAATACCGTGGTTCATGTCAGTCTTTCTCGGTTGTTTGGTGGAAGGGATGGCCTATTACAGGGCATGCACCTGCTCCCACCATGCCCCTATTGACTTGCAGCCCAGGTCACCAGCCTTTAAAGAAGAGAACAAGCAGAATCTATCCCTGGGGGTGCCAACACTGGGTACTTTCAGTATGTTCTAGATTTGAGGCACTGTTCTGCTGGGTTCTCAAGAGTTCTGGCCCTCTCGCTCATCCCATGTGATCTGGGAGTCCAAGAACAATGCTGACCTCAACCCTGTGCTCCAGGACATCAGGGTAGAACCATCCAGACCTGCTCCTTCTGGTGATAAAGGCTCCTGCATGGAGTCAAAGTCAGACCCCACAATGTTCTGAGTGCTTTCTGGTGAGGCTCCTAGGCAGGGTATATAAGGTCCCTGGGGTGCACATCAGGTGTGGTGGTTAACTTTATGTGTGAACTAGGCCAGGCCACAGTGCCCATGTGTTTGGTCATGATTAAATATGTAAGTCATAGCAAATATTTAATATTTGAGTAAAGCACATTGGCCGCCATAATGTGGGTGGGCCTCATCCAATCAGTTGAAGGATTAAAAAGACCAAAAAGACTGACCTCCCCCAGGAAGAGAGAAATCCTTCAGATTTGAACTCTAGCTCTTCCCAGCCTGCCCGTTTACACTGCAGATTTTGGACATGCCAGCCTTCACAATCACATGAGTCCATTCCTTAAAATAAATCTTGATAGATGTATGTAAGTACATATTTATATTTGGATGGATAGATGGTAGATAGAGAAATATGGATATCTGTGTGTGTGTATACATGTATGCAGAGAGAATGGGTTCACCTGGATCCTCCCAGTTTACAAATTCTAACAACTGTGACGACCTTCCACCAAAGTCCTCCCTAATACGTTGACTGTTTCAGGCCTCTGACACACGGGTTAAGCCTGAGGATCCAAACTCTCAGACCCTCAGATCCAAACCCTGTGTGAGTCCACAGCCCTGGCTCTTACCCTGAAGGACCAAGGACGCCCACAGGGGATATGCCAGTTCAGTGGCACTTTCCAGTTTACAAATGATCAAACTGAGGAGGTAGGCCAGGGCTTGCCAGGCAGGGCCTTTATGCTGAACTTGTTGCCTGAACTTGTGCTGGAAGAAAGGACAGTTTCATGACCAGAGGACTCAGACTAGTCACCCTAGAGACCCCACAAGCCAGGAACAAGCCAGCGTGTGGGAAAGAAATCAGTCTTTACAGAGGTGCCTGCACATAGTAGGCCCTCAAGGAATGTGTGCTAGTTCTAGCCAGGCCCTCCCTGATTGCTCTAGCTTTTGCTGATCCTATTTAGTCCAAGTCTGTGATTTCATTTCTAGAACAATAATGTGCCAGGGAACCTCTGATCAGAGTGGACTTCAGCAGAATTGTGTGCTTTCTCCCCACAGCCAGGGACCAGAGCATCAACCCCATCTTCACTCCCTGGCCCCAACACCCCTCGGCTTCCCTATGCACTGGGGCCACTTACCAGTTCCACTCCGCTCCTTGTGGGGCTGCTGGGACTCCCTGGCCCATCTGGCTCCTCGTATGTGCTGTGATCATGGTTTTCCTTCAGGAGTTACTGGCTTGTTCTGCTGTTACCTAGCTGTGAATATATGGAGGAGGTGAGCTTGCTGCTCTCCTGGATGAAGCTCTTGATGGGAGAAGAGGTTTAGGCAAGAACCTGAATATTTTTTTCTCAGCAGTGGGTCCCAGTGTCCATTTGAAAAAAAAAAAAAAAAAAAAAAAAGCACTTCTGCTGTGGAGCTGACACTGCGTGGCGCTGCAGGTGCAACCTGAGTTCCCTAGGGAAATGATGGAAGTTTCTAGAAAAGCTCAAGGTGGCAGAATTGAGCTCAACTGCATCTACTCTGTCGCACTCTGTCAACAGTCTGCGGTCTCAGCAGAGGCTGTTGTCCCTTGTTGCTATCCATGGACTCTGATTTCCTTGGCTGGACTCTTATCCAGTAATTAGCTCACTGCCTGATGTAGCCTATTACTATAGGCTTCCCCTGGTTTTGAGAACAGAAAGAATCTTTATTGCAAACTGATTGCCACGGAAGCAGAAGAAAAACTCGAATTGATGTCCCAAGTTATGAAAGCGAATGGGGTTATATAGGTTTGGGGGGCTGCGGCTGAGAACAAAGGAGTTAAATTTTACAAGCTAGAAAGTGGGTTGGGGCAAAGGAAGGTGGTTGTAGCTGGAGCCCATTGGCTGATTATGGGGCAGTCCGTACACAGTCAGATATGAGAGGCTTTGTTCAGAGAACTGGATTTCTGATTTTCTCTGGCTGGGTTCCTTGCCTCCGGGGAGTCCCCTCCTTTATATCCGCGGTCTCCCTGCTCTGCTGGCCTGAGGCTCGGCTCGAGGTGGTCACGTCTGTGAATGCTCAGGCTGGGCCTCCTGCCTCTCTGTGGGGGAAGAGGACCATTCCTTTCACCTTCAGCAAACAGCCCACCCTGCCCCTGCCTCAGTCCAGGCCTCAAGGAGGCCAAAACCCTGCCAAACACACGTGGGCCAGAGGGGGAGCCACTGGGTGCAGGACGAGGGCAGGTCTTTGTTCCACTCCCACGGGGGAGGCAGAGACCTCCAAAGCCTTCGTGGTCTTCGTGGGTCTTCTCGGATTTGATTCTGTGCCAGGAGGCCTCTCCCCTCCCTTCTTCCTAAGAGATGGCAGGTTACACCTGTTTGCACTGGAGCCGGGAGGGCAGGAGTGTCATGAGGAGGTGACTTGAGGCCAGGCTGCAGTGACGAGGAGGCCAGGTTGAGGTCTGACGTGCAGCTTATTTGCTACCGTGTGAGGGGTGCCCACCGTACGTGGATGGGAGATGAGCATGTTGGGGGGATGGCCTGGGAGGCTTTGGGACATGCCGGAGGAGAGTTCTCACATCGTGGTGTCTGCCGCCCCCTTCCAGTGCTCTCCCGAGGACTCCTGGGAGCAGAAGTCCAGCTGGCTCACTTCCACCTCGTCCTTCCTACGATTTTCCAGCCTGGGCCAGAAAGGGAGCCACCGGGTGCATGAGGAGGTGCAGAACTTCGTGCCAATCCCACAGGGGAGGCCATAGACCTCCGAGACCGTGGTCATCTCAGGCTCCTCCTGGATTTGATTCCATGTCAGGAGGCCTCTCTCCTTCCGGCTTCCTAAGAGAAGACAGAGAACAGTCAAGTCTGGGCTCTGGAGAAGGGGGCAGAAGTGGGCAGGAGGGAAACTCCGACGCCCTCTGGAGGCGCCCGGGAGAGTCAAGTGCCTTCCACCTGCCAACAGCAGCTCCTCCGCCAAGCCCAAGGCTCAGGTTCAGCCCAGCAGAACCTCATCAGGCCTTCCCTGAGCTTCTGCTGGGGCTGACACTGGAGCTGCAGGTACAGTCACAGGTGAACTGCCCTCCTGTCCTCATCTTTGGGGGTGGACCTTTCCCCGTTTTAATGCTTCTGGACTGCAGCTGCATTTTACACTTGGTGGAGAGAGGGTGGAGAGTAGATCATAAAGCAGGGGTCCCTCCACAGGCTGGGGGTGGGGGGCAAGAGGGAGCATAGAAAGCCAACAGCGGTGGCAGCTGAATCTTCGCCTTCCACATCCACAGCACTTAGAGACTCGCTTTACTCATGACCAAGCTAGAACCCTGCAAGGTGACTCTTCCTGTCTCTTCCCCTAGAAGCCTGTGGGTTTCTGGGGCATGTCACTAAGTTTAAGGGCCCCTCACAGCAGCCGCTCCCCTGTACTACCCCGTTATCACTATAAACATCGTTCACTTAAAGTTTCTCCTCCTGCCCTGCCTCAGGCCGAGGCTCCTATTGTGGACGTGGTAGTCAGTTTCCCCTCAGAGGTTTTTTTCATTTTGCTTTGTTTTGTTTTTTAGTTTTTTAATTAACTGTTTTATTTTTATATCATTGTTCATTTTTAAACAATATTTGGCTTTGTTTCACATCAGTCTTGTTACGCGTCTTTGGAGGAGGCATGTCCAGAGTATTTTTACTCTGCTGCCATCTTGCTGGACTCTTGCTCACTGGGGTTTTTTGAAAATAGGAAGGGAGAACAGGAGAGGGAGGTGGGGAGAGACAGAGCAGCAATCGCCCTGTTGTAGTTGCCACCAGCTACACTGCAAGCTCCAGAGGGGAGCTATGCCTTTTTGTTTTGTTTCTTTTTTTTTTTAATTATTTTATATGTGAGAATATTTTTTTTGTCTTGTTTTGTTTTGGTTTTTTTTTTGAAGTTTTATTTATTTATTTATACAAGCACTGGGTACAGTCAGAAACGCAGAAGGAGGGTGAGAAGATTCACCAGAGACAGAGCGGGGAACAGAACAGGCAGACTGACGAAATACACTGCTGAGGGGAGCAGCAGGTGAGACAGGAGAGGTCTGTCGCGCCATGTGGGACCCTCGCCAGTGGCCGGGGATCAAACCGGCGCTGCAGAGGCTGCAGGCAGCTTGCAGCCCAGCGTTCAACCACTGTTCCACCAGGGGAGGCCCTTGTTTTGTTTCTGATGAATTTTCTCACCTTAGGTCCTGTTTTGGGCTTAGTTGTGTCTCCCCAAAATTCATAGGTTGCTGCCCTGACTCCTCATATCTCAGAATATACCTTTGAAGGGGTGATTCACTTAAAGATAAAGTCTTTAGGTTGACCCTAATCCAACTTGTCTGGTGTCTTTTTTAAGAAGAGGCGATTCCCCCAAGAGAGAAGAGGAAGAGATACAAAGGGTACAAGAGGACACAGCTAGAAGGTCACCAGGGAAGAAGCCCCACAGGAAACCACTTTGATCTTTGACTTCTAGCCTCCAAATGATGGGACAATATATTTCAGTTATATTAGCCACTCTTTGTGGAATTTTGTGATGCCAGCTCTAGAAAATGCATGCACGTCAGACCATACCCAGACCCACCCGGGGCCCCCACAGTGTACACTGTGGCCAACCTGCCACAGTAACTGGGGCCACAAAAGCTCAAAGCTGGCCATCTCCCCAAATCAGTAGCTTGTAGAGAGAAAGTGGGTCCTACCAGGAATGGTATTGTCCAGCAGGAAGCCCAGAAATCCACCCACGAACATGCCGGTGGTCAGCAGCACCTGGATGACCTGATCCAGCTGGAGAATCCCTGGGGTGGAGACAAAGGTGACAAGAAATCCCAGGAACCAAAGATCCCACCGGCTCCACCCTGGAGTGATTACAGTCTAGATGTGTTATCACCTGTCTGGAGCTTCTCCTGGTTCTTGTTGACCCAGTTGGGAATGGCGAGGCCACAGTAGATGGAAAAGCCAAACACAAAGAGATTCCGGGATGAGTTCATGTCTACGTACTGCAGGAGAGAGGCCCCGGCGGGCACCAGGTCATCAGTGCATTTATGACACATCAGACACCCACCCCAGCACCCCCACCACTGCCAGAGGGCAGCTAGGCTCAGCGTGCATGCTCTGTGGGGCAGCCAAGCGGAGACTCCCAGCTGACCTTGGGAACACAGCAGTTTGGACAATCCGGTTCAAACTGAAGCAATTTCTATTCTGCACAGGTTTGGAAACTTCTGGTTATTTCTTTCTCCCCTTTGGGGGCCAGTAGGGGTTCTGGGGCTGAGATGACCTTCTCCTCCCTGGCCCCAGCCCTGGACCACTCATCCCAAGGCGTCACTGCTTTTCTAAGGGTGCCTCGTCTCACCTGCAGATTGGAAATCCCCACGGCAGTGATGACCCCGAACATCACCAGGAACATGCCTCCGATCACGGGGGTTGGGATGGTGGCAAACGCAGCTCCGATCTTCCCAAACATCCCCATGAGGAGCAGCACACAGCCTGCGGCCACGATCACCATCCGGCTCCCCACCTGCGGGACGCGGGGAGAGGGTGCGGGAGAGACTCAACACCAGCCATTGATTAAGGAAATATTAGACTTTATCAAAGCTATTATTATGGACTTGGTATAAACCCTGATTTCTCTTTCATCTATTTTGAGGTTTATTTAGAACATACCAAACTGAAGTGAAGCCTGTTTTATGGTCTCATACAGTATTTTTTTTTTAAGATTGATTTATTTGTTTGTTTATACAAGCACTGGGTACAGTCAGTCGCGTGGGAGGTGAGAAAATACCAGAAGAGCGGGGAGCAGAGCAGGCAGAAGGACCGAAGTACACTGCTGAAGTAGTGGCAGGAGCGCGCCATGTTCCTCCAGTAGCAGCCAGGGATCGAACCGCGCTGACAGAGGCTGCGGGCAGCTTCGCAACCCAGCGCTCAACCGCTGTGCCACCAGAGAGGCCCCTCTCATACAGTATTAACCGGTGCTATCAAGAATCTGAAAGTGTGTTTGAAAATTGATGCCACAGACCATCAATTCTGCACTGAAGTCACGAATTCCCATTTTCTGTTTTGCGTAGGTCTTTTTGAGTTGCTAAGTATTTTAGAAGCCAAAGGAAGTAGGCTTCACACCCCTTAAGATGCTATTGGATCTTGGGACCTTCCTGGTGGCACAAGGGGTTGAGCACTGCCCTGCGAAGCAATCTGCAGCCTCTGCAGCACAAGTTCGATCCCCAGCCAGCCAGGGAGCAACCCACATGGCGCAGCAGACCTCTCCTGACTCACCCGCTGCTCCCCTCAGCAGTGTGTTTCAGTCAGTCTGCCTGTTCTGTTCCCCACTCTGTCTCTGGTGACTCCTCTCACCCCCTGCACCTCTGGCCTGTACCCCAGCTCTTGTATGCATAAATAAATAAATCTTAAAAAAAAAAAAAGATGCTATTGGATCTTGAAGTAAAATCAAGGTCCTAAAAAGATTAAAAGAAAACCACCGTGCTATAAGGACCATGACCTGTAGTTCATACACTCTCCCCACAGTTCAGTGCCAGGCTTCCCCAGCTGGCACACTGCTGGCCAGTACCAGTGTCATGTGAGTCAAGGGTTACAGTGTTTGGGTGACAACTACTGTCAGGAATACAAACAACCCCAGACTTTGAGGCCTTCGATATCATCCTCAAAAGTTTGGGTTGCTGGGTCTCCCTGGTGGTGCTGGGATTAAAGTCTCAGCGCTATCAAGGCATCGCCAGCCACTGCGGCCTAAGTTCGATCCCGGGGCCAGGGAGCTGACCCACATGGCGCAGCAGACCTCTCCTGTCTCGCCGGCTGCACCCCTCAGCAGGGCAGTTCAGTAGATCCGCCTGTTCTGCTTCCCACTCTGTCTCTGGTGAATCCTCTCACCCCCCGCACCTCTGGTCTGTACCCCAGTTCTTACATGCATAAATAAAAGCAAATCCTAAAAAAAAAAGTTAGGGCTTCACTGCGCATGTCCTGGCCTGAATATCCCCTTACGAGACTGTGGTCCATGACTGTATTTTGATAGTTGTCGAACCAGTTTCTCACCATTGTGCCTGTCTACTCCCAGTCCCCGCAAGTTACTCTACCACCCTAGATGCAAAGCTGAACAGTCCTGATGGGCTGCAAGCACCAGGCCAGGCTTCACGCTACATGGCTGGTCATTTCACAGAGATTAAAATGGAATTTTTATGTCACATGCCTTTTACCCCAATTAATAATATTTTTAACAACTATTCTATTGTTAACTAAAGTCCATTCATGCAGTGAGAGAGTAGCAGATTCTGCCTTTGCCTCTTTTTCTAGTCTGAGCTTATTTATTGAATAAATATGTCTTCATCTGAAGGCATGTGGTAAGCATTTACCGCCAAAGGAACATTTTGTTTTGTCCCCAACCCAAACCATTAAGTGTGGGAACAAAGGCACGAATCTAAGCACAACAGATCAATTTGTCAGCTGCTCACGGGAGACGCTGATGGTCTGGAGGTGCAGTCATCCCCAATTCCACAACCACAGCACTTAGCATGCAACCTTGGGCCTCTTCTGCTCTCAGGTGCCTCTTCTGGCATCTGAGCTGGGAGCCTGGATCCTAAAGAAGCGACTGGAGGCCTGGGCCTTTAGCCTGATTTCCCCCAGATTGGAGCAAACCCATGGGTGAGAGCTCCTCATTGCAGTCACACCACCAAGAAGTGCCTGAAAAGTCCACGTGGGGGAGGTGACCCCAGATCAGGTTTATCTGTGCCCCACTGGTGCCTCTCTGCTTTGGAGACTGCTCTGTGTCTATGTGGCTCTTTCCTGCTCTTCCCCTTGCCTTTAAAGAACTGGAATTGTAGAACTGGAACATCAAAGAAATGCTCGTTCTATTCATTGATTATGACTTTCTGTTCTGCATGAGGTTTAATTCTTTTTAGCAGGAAGATTTGCTGCATCATTCTCTGAATGTTCTGTATGGGTCAGTGGCTCTCATATGGAAAAGCATCCCCTCGCTTGCCCCAAAGTCTATGAAACCCTAAGCAAGAATCAGGGTCCTTGGCATCACAGCACATAGGACTTGCTGTTGGGGTGAGTGCTGGCTTGGTTATTTGCTCACAGAGTTTAGCTCCCACTGAGGTCCAGAGGCCATGCTGGCTGGCCTCAATTACCCAGGAGGGACCAATCAGGGTAGAGGTGGATGGTCTGAGGCCAGAAAGACAGGATGCTCCCCAGCACACAGCAGATACACTGAGGGAGCTACAGGAATAGGCGGGGTGGGAGTGGGGGATTTGGAGGAGCAGGAACAGACTTGTGCTGGAAACCACTGCAAAGTGCACAAGAATGTGAAAAGCAACAGCATAATATTCTAAGGCATCTTAGAAAGCACCATCCTGCAGAATTGCTGACTTTATGCAGTTTTGCTGTGGAACATGGGAAGCCATAAAGAGACTGTAAGCCAGGGACTAATCTAATCAGAATTGGGTTCTAGAAAGTTCCTTGGGCAGCCAGGTGGCAGCTAGACTACAGAGAGCCTGGGGAGAGAGACTGTTAGGGATACTGTGGTGTCCAGGACAGAGATGATAAAGTTGTGGCATTGGGAATGGAGAGCAGGACAGAAAGATGAGCAGAAAAGTTGAGAAAATGAAATCTATCACAGGGGTCCAGGACAGCAGGACGTTAAGGATGATTTGGGTGAACTCACTAAGGCAAGGATTGTAGGAGGGGAAGCAAAGAAAGGGCATGTCCTGAGTCTGTAGCTTTGCCAGACTGAGTGTGAGGTGCTCTGGGGACTTGCCAGCGGAGGTGGCAGCTGACTGTTCGGGTAATGGACCCAGCTGAACTTCTCAAAGTAGGGAATTTCTTCAGTGCTCACAGAGCCACTGACGTCTGCCGGGGCCAGGACAGACTTTCTGGAATAGCCTCAACCAAAGAAGGTCCAGTCAGGTAAGCAGAGTAATAGCCACTCAAGGATGTCCACACCCAATCCCTAAACCTGTGGATATGTTACCCCATATGCAAAAAGGGCTTTGCAGATGTAAGCGAAGGACTTAGAGATGCGGCAAATCGCCTGAATTATCTAGATGGGACCAATCAGTTATCTAGATGGGACCAGTCTTTATAGCAGAGCTCTGCCCGGCTGTGGTCAGGAAACCTGACTGTGAAGAAAGTCAGCGAGAAGCAGCGTTGCTGCCTTTGAAGATGGACGGTGGACACTGTGGCGAATGAATGTGGGCAGCCTCAGGATGATGGCGAAAGCCCGGCCACAGACTCTCCCTGGAGCCTCCAGGAAGGAACACGGCCTTGCCAATACCGTCGTCTTAGCCTGGGGAGACGTGAGTCAAAATGACCTCCAGATCAGGAAAATAACAAAAGAGAGTTTGTGGGAAGTCATTTGTTCCGGCAGCAATAGAAAACTAACACAAGGTGACGGATTCAGGTGCCCGCGGGAGACTTACCCTGGTGATGCCCAGCGCTCCGACATTCTCGCTGTAGGAGGTGGTGCCATTGCCGGTCCCCCAGGCCCCGGCCAGCAGGCAGCCCAGGCCCTCGATGCCAATGCCACGGCTGATGGCGTGCTTTGGAGGGGGTGGGGCCCCCACCAGCCGGGCACAGGCATAATAATCGCCAACGGACTCCACCATGGAGGAAACCACCCCGGCGATGATCCCGAAGACCCCCGCCAGGCTGATGGTGGGGAGGCCCCACTGTCCTGAAAATGCAGTGCAGAGAGACTATTAATGCAGAGGTCGCAGGACGCGGGAACTCACTTTCTCCACCAAAGGCGCTCTGGAAAGCTGTGGCCACCGGGCAGCCAGGCGCATGTGCTGCTCTGGTCTCTCCCTTGCCACTCAAATGCGGTCCTGAGAGCTTGTTAGAAATGCAGAATCTGGGGCCTCCCCTGGTGGCGCAGGTGATTGAGCGCTGTGCTGTGAAGCTGTCCGCAGCCTCTGCAGCGCAGGTTCGATCCCGGCCAACAGGCGAGGGTCCCACATGGCGCGCAGACCTCTCCTGCCGCGCCCGCTGCTCCCCTCAGCAGTGTATTTCATCAGTCTGCCTGTTCTGTTCCCCACTCTGGCTCTGGTGAATCCTCTCACCCTCCTGTGCATCTGGTCTGTACCCCGGTTCTTGTGTAAATGAATAAATAAAAGAAAAAAAAAGAAATGCAGAATCTGGGCCTCCTTGGTGGCGCAAGGGGTTAAGCACAGCACTGTGAAGTTATCTGCAGACTCTGCAGCTTGAGTTCGATCCCTGGCCGGCCAGGGAGCTGCCCACATGGCATGACAGACTTCTCCTGTCTCGCCCCCTGCTCCCCTCAGTAGTGTGTTTCAGTAGATCTGCCTGTTCTCCCCACTCTCTCTGGTGAGTCCTGTGATCTCCCACACCTCTGGTCTGTACCCCAGTTCTTGTATTCATGAATGAATAAGACTTTAAAAAAAAAAAAAAGGGCCTCCCCAGTGGTGCAGCGGGTTAAGCGCCCCACTGTGAAGCTGTCCGCAGCACAGCTTCTGCAGCACGGGTTCAATTCCCGGCCAGCCAGGGAGCTACCCACATGGCACAGCAGACCTCTCCTGCCTCACCTGCTGCTCCCCTCAGCAGTGCTTTCAGTCCAACTGCCTGTTCTGCTCCCCGCTCTGTCTCTGGCAAGTCCTCTCACCCTCCCATGCCTCTGGCCTGTACCCCAGCTAATGTATAAATAAAAAATAAATCTTAAAAAAAGAAAAAGAAATGCAGAATCTGTGACCCAGATCTCCTGAGAGAGAACCCGCTTCTGGGGCAGTGTCTTCTTAGCCAACCGAAAGCTTTAAAAAAGTTTTCAGTTATGCCACAAAGCAAAGCAAGGAAAGGAACTGCTCTGACACAACAGTAATGTGTGGGTAACTTTCAGAAGGCAGATGATGCTCTAGGACTAGGGGGACACCAGGAGCACCAGGGGGTGACCCTTAGCAAGTACAGTGTTTCCCTTGCGGGCCATAAAAATATTCTGGAATTAGATAATGCTGCGGTACAGGCAACTTTATGAATATAATGAAAACCACTGGATTGTATGACTTGAAAAGGTGAATGTTATGCTACATGAATTACTGTGTGTGTCAACAGAGTTGTTAGAAAAAAAAAAGACTGGGCAGCATGTCCCCACCCCAGAGTGTCCACAGGCCATGGCTGGGATTCCCGCCCCACCTGTCCCCCCATCCTGGGGCAGAGCCTGCGCTAGAATCGCGGCAAAGAAGGCCGGCCACGGGGCCTCGCCCCAGGAGGGCCTGAGGTTTTATTCCGGGAGGCCCTGGCTCCACGAGGCCGGGCACTTCTCGCAGGAACCCAGTTATTTATACCCCAGCCAACAATGGTGGGGAAGGAGAGCAGAAGTGGCCCAAGGATGGCCTTGTCCTCCTCTCTCCAGAAATGTTCTTGGCCTTCTCGGTGCAGGAGCCCCTGAATGCCAGAGGACACCCAAGGGTCTGACTAGGAGGAGGAGCCCCCTCTGTCTTCTCCCCACTCCCAGGCTTATGGGTTCTGAGGGAGAAGGGAATAGGGAGGTGGGTCAGCTGGGAGGCAGGCTTGAGAGTGGGAGCCTTTGTCCTGTCACACCCAGAGGATTCTTGGGACAGCCCAATGTCTGCTGCAGGACCTTGTCCCTCCTGCCTTGGAGGAGCGCCCTGCCCCGGCAGCTCCCCATCCAGGGCCTGGACACGGCTGGTAAAGGGGCTTCTGGCAAGCAGGGGTCCCCTGCTCTCTTACCTGGGTAAGGGAAGCGGAACCAAGGGGCCTGGCTGAGGACGTCACCTTTGGCGTCGGTGCGTGCCAGGTGCCCGTATTCCGTGGGGGCCGAGGGCAGGGTGTCGGTGACCGTGAGCACGAAGCAGAGGAGCCAGGAGATGCAGAGCGCCAGCAGCACCTGCCAAGGGGAGCCACCTTTGCCACTGGGCCTCACCCCTGCAGGCTGCAGAGGGGTTGGGCAAAGGAAGGAGTTCAGGAAAGTTCTCTGAAAAGAGGAAGTCTTGGGATACCACCCTCTCCAGTGACAGCAGGGACCAGCGTGTCGGGAGATAATTAGCACATTCAGGGAAGGTGGAACGTGAACTCTGGGGAGACCAGTGTCAAAGAGAGGCAAAGGCATCTAGCTAAGTGGGTACAGCCTGGGTCAAAGGGTCACCATCTGGCGCCTTCCGCTGTTGGCAGGTCATGTGACCTGGCTTGAGCTCTGCCGCCTGTTTCTTCATCTACAGAAATGAGCCAGATTTCTTCCATGGGGTCCTCAGTCATACTGATTTCTCATCGCTGTTGGCAGGACCCCAGAAACCTGTTTGTAGCAGTGTCCCCACAGTGGATTTCAGAATCCCTGGCCTACAGTGCAATCATTCTGTGGAAGCATCATTTTTAACAATATGAAATGTAGTTTGCAGTTAAATATAGCCTGAGAACAGATCTGTGTGGCTGACAGTGACACATGCTTGACTATGAAGTGCAGATTCAGCAGTGGCGGCTCTGAGTGGGGAGGTAGCACCATCACCACCAGGGACATGCATCACCCAGGAGCCACTGTGAGGAAGGATGGACACAACCCCCTCTTGGTTTACATAATTAGAGGTAAACCTGGCTGTCTCCCCAGTTCCTTGCTATGAGATCCTCCCCGGGAGCAGGAGAAGGTTGTCCCCACTTTCTGCTCAGAGTTCTGTGACCCAGAACCAGGCTCTGCCCCAGAGACAGCATCGAGGAAGGGGCTGGGATGGGATTACACCCCTCCAACATTCAGGGAGTTTCCCCCAAACTTCTCGGTCTCCTCTGCTGAAATTAGGAAGGTCAAGGAGGAGAGGCCACTGCAGATGGGGGAGCAGGTGATTCAAGGGCCACCTGGGAGCGTGAGAGACTGTCCCCTCACTGTCCAGGTAAGTCAGCTAAACATGGAGGTGGGTGGAGATGCTTCTTACAGGGAAGACCTGAAACAGGTAGAACCTGGAGGTGTGACACTTCTTCTCTCGTCCATAAACGGGCACGGGCAGCGCGATGTTTTTCAGGTATTGAGAAAACAGCACAATGAGGAAGATGGTCCTGAAACAGAAACAAACCACACCCAACATGGCGCACTGGCGCTTGGCCCCAGTGAGGGTGCGGGAGGCTGAGCGTGTCTCTGGAACTGAGGGCAGTTGCAACTCAGGGAGGGTCCCAAGAGGGTCCTGCCCTCTTGGAAAGGGTGGGCTGTTCCTTTCAGAAGCAGTGGCTAAAAAGGTGCTGAAAAAGAAATTGCAGGCAGGGAAGTTAATATTCCTTGGGGGCAGCTACTGGGTGCATCCAGCGGTCAGCTCCAAGGCCACAGAGCCAGAGATCATCTTCTCTCTGGGTCATTCTGTGGTCTTTGTGTCATGATAGGGGCTAGGGAGGAGGAGATCGGTGAGACACTAAGCTGGTATAGTAGGAAATCTGCACACATGTTGTTCATGGCTGTCCACTCTGCATTAATTTTCCAGCCCAAGGACATGTCTGGAGGAGCACGGAGAGCCAGTGGTCTCCGATGACCAGCCTCAGCACACTGGCGCGCTTGAGGCCAGGGGTCTAGGTGAGTGAGAAGGAGCTCCAGGGGCTGGACATCATGGGCTCCTGGCAGCAGTGAAGGCCTGTCTATTGCTGAACTGTCTTTGTTCAACTCTCTATAAAAAGTCAGCTGGAAATGAAACATCAAGGCAGTTTCTTTAGGGCGTTATCTACCCATCCAACAGATGGCTGGCTGGCTGATTAAAGTGCACCTTAAAGATTCCATTCCTGTCTCTACTGGCATTTGATGGTGACAGGTGGGCCAAACTCCAGTCTTCTGGCAAACTCCAGTCTTCTAGTTACAGTCAGAATAAATGTGTCCAGTGTGGTCATCCCCAAGTCCCTTCAAAGCACTGTTTAAATGCTTAGGGTCTTTATCCACAAAGCCTTCTGGGCTCTACCCACTGGCTGCCGTCACCCCCTCTCCTCAACATGTACAGCATCTGTCATCACTGCATCCTGGTGTCATGGTCCTTGGAGCCAAGTCTTACCTCCCTCCTGCACTATATGGTGCTGGGGAGCCGGGGCCATGTCTGTGCATCCTTCCCAGGTGCTACAGGTGAGCCATCATTTGCTCAGTGAAACCTTAGTAGGCAGAGGACTGACAGCACCCACTTTTTGGGAACATTCTGTGAAGTTTTTCTAAACATTTCCTGTGAGGAACTCATTATCTGTAAGTACTAATAACATAATACATGGCAGTCATAACAAAGCATCCATAACAATTACACTGCTTTTTAAGGTCCCATAATGTTCATGACAGTATTTGCAGAGTTTGCCAATACCCAGAACTCCTAGTATTCTTATTGGATACTCTCCCACTGAAGAGAATTTAGACTGGAGCTCCCCGCCCAGAGAATACTTACAGAGCAGCAATCCCCCAGTGGATCCCAGCGTCATTGCCCGCAGAATCGAAGAGCGGCAGGGCCACCAGGGAGATGGTTGGAGCGATGGTCAAGGGGCCAATGAAACGCAGGAGGAAGCCAATGAGGCCTGAGAAACCCACTAGCATCTGGACACAGGAAGCCACCATAACGGCGCCCTGCAACTGGAGAGGGGAGTTCTCAGCTCAGCCCCGGCCACTTCTAGATCTGGCCACTAGGATTCAGGACATTCAAAGGCAAGGGAGGGACAAACCTGGACCCCAAAGGAACTGTGGGAAGGGACCACTGACTCCCCATTCTGGACTTCCAGGCACCCACTGGAAATCTTCCCTGAGCATGAAGCTTGTAAGGAAGCAGACGGCAGAATTATCATCGACCATAGCAATGATGAGTATGCTGGTGATGGTGACTGGTAACACTGGCCTCACTCAGTAATACATTGGGCATCTTGTTGCTTTATTCTTCTGTTTTCTTACTTTCTACTGTAGGAATTGAAAAACTTTTTCTATGAAAGACCAGATAGTGACCGTTTTAGGCTTTGTGGACCACATGGGCTCGGTTGAAATTTTCCAGACAAGATGTAAACAAATGAGCCTTGTCGTGTGTTGAATTACTTCACAGCCACTAAAACTTGAACTTCATTTAATTCTGACAAGTCTTGAAATATTATTCATTTGATTTTTTCCAACCATTAAAAGTGTAAAACTAGGGGCCTCCCTGGTGGTGCAAGGGTTAAGTCTCAGCACCATGAAGCTATCTGTGGCAGCCACTGCAGCATGAGTTCAATCCCCAGCCAGGGAGCTACCCACATGGTTCAGCAGACCTCTCCTCTCTCACCCGCTGCTCCCCTCAGCAGTGTATTTCAGTCAATCTGCCTGTTCTGTTCCCCACTCTGTCTCTAGTGAATCCTCTCACCTCCCTACGCCTCGCACCTCTGACCTACACCCCATCTCTTGGATGCATAAATAAAATAAATCTTTTAAAAAACCAAAATTTCTGATCTATTAACATATTTTCTTTGTCTCTGAAGAACTTCTTGAACATTTCTTGCAAGGTGGGCCCACTGGCAACAAATTCCTTCAGTTTTTTCCTGCCTCAGAAAATATTTTTCCTTCACTTATGAAGGATCATTTGGCAGGGTAGAGTTCTAGGTATGTGGTTTTCACTCCCAATGCTTTAAATGTTTCAGTCCACTCTCCTCTTGCTCTCATGGTTTCTGAGAATCAGATGCAGTTATTATCTTTGTTCCTCTGTAGGTTAGGTGTCTTACTCCTCGTCTTGTAGGACTTTTTCTTTAGCTTAGATTCTCTTTGGTGTGAACATGTTACGCCCAAATGTAGTTTTTGTTTTGTTCATTGATTGATATTTTTTTGGGGGTGGGGGTGGGGTTTGGTGATGCATTAATCCTGCTTGGTGTTACCTGAGCATCCTGGATCTGTGGTTTGGTGTCTGGCATTAATTTGGGGGGAAATCCTAGGTCATTGTTTCCAATATCCCTTGTGTTTCTTTCTCTATTTTATTTTCTGGTGTCCCCTTTATACATATTACATCATTGATAGTCACCCCACAGCCCTTGGATATTCTGGGTTGTTTTTTTTTTTTCATTTCAGTCTTTGTTCTCTGTTTTTCACTTTTCAAGGATTCTATTGATATGTCATCTAGTGCTGAGATCTGTCCTCTGCTGTGTCCAGTTTACTAATGAGCTCATCAAAGGCAGGCTTTGTTCCTCTTCCAGTGTTTTTGATCTCTAGTATTTCTTTTTGCTTCTTTCTTAGGATTTCCCTCTCTCTGCTGACACTGCCCATCTGTTCTTGCCTGTTGTCTACTTTATGTGTTACAGCCCTTACATACTAACCATAGTTATTTTAAATTCTTGGTCTGAGCACTGCAACTTCCCTTCCATGTCTTGTTCCTATGCTTTCTCTGTCTCTTCACATTGTGTTTTTTGCCTTTTGATATGCCTTGTCATTTTTCTATTAGATAACCAGACACACTTTTACTGGGTAAAAGGAACTACTGTAAATAAGTCTTCTGGAGGCCATGACCTTCCCTTTCTTATGGATCCAATAAGGTTGTTGATATTTCAGTTTAGCTTTTCACTTGTTAGGATGCAATGATTTCCAAACTCCTTACATGCAGAAACAGAAACCCCTACATTCTATTTTTATTTTTATGGAAGTTATTCTTAAATTTTTAATGCGTACTAAGAGTCCACAAAATATTTCTATCCTCCTCAAAAATAGTACAATGGCCTTAGAAAACTAATTTCTATTATCATTCTTCTGTTTTCCATGCTATAATTTTCAAATACATAGTTACAGTATCCTGGATCATTTCCTTAGATAAACTTTCAGTTCATTAATCTCTTTTTTGCTGTTTCTAAATTTGTTTAACCCACTTAACCAATTAAATGCTCTTTTACTATATATATATGTATTTTAAGATTGTATTTATTTATGCATATAAGAGCTGGGGCACAGGCCAGGGTGAGAGTATTCACTACAGAGAGAGTGGGGAACAGAACAGGTAGACTTACTGAAATACACTGTTGAGAGGCGCAGTAGGTGAGACAGGAGAGGTCTGCTGCACCATGGGGGTAGCTCCCTCGCTGGCCAGGGATCGAACTTGTGCTGCAGGGGCTGCGGATTGCTTCATAGTGTGGTGCTTAACCCCTTGTGCCACCAAGGAGGCCCTTTTCTACATATTTTGATATCTAAAGTTCTATTTAGTTCTATCTTCAAATTTTCCACTTATTTCATCTTGTCTTTTTTCTGTATTATATCTATTTCTTCTGGATTTCTTTAATTATTTTAAACATATTGATTTAATTTCCTCTTTCAAGTTGTTGTACTCTCTCTTGTTTCTGCTGATTCTCCTTCATAATACATTACTTCCTTTTGTGAAATGATGACCTTTACATATGTGAGCTCACTTTCAGGGGATTTTTTTTTCCTGTGGTAGTCTTATGAGTCTTGGAATGTGAGTATTCCTAAAGAATATAATTACATCTTTGTACAGTAAATGAAGATGCTCAGGATTTTGTGCTGCTGGCCTCTGTGGCTATCCCCTCCAGCCTTGAATGCAGGAGGCGCTTGGGAGGTAGACTTGGGGTACACATGCCTGATGGTGGACACCTGGAGTGTAGTGTGTGTATTCATAAGGCAGAGAATGGAGAAGAGTGGTAGAAAATGGCTATGAGAGGAAAAGCCTCAGCTGCAAGAAGAAGAGACTAGGAGATGATGCAAAAGGAAGCCCAGAAAGAGTAAAGATCCAGCAGGGGCCAGGAAGCCTGTCCTGCACCTGGATGCCTTACTGTAAATGGTGCAGAAAGATCATTAAAAGTGTGAAAAAGCCAGTGAGGGCTCCAGGACTTTCCTTTACCCATCTCCTGAATCGATAGAGAACCCGCCCCATGCCTTGCTGGTGCAACCATCCACTGCTGAGCAATGCAAATATTTCATTAACAGGACTTTAATTTCTCAGCTTGAGAATCCTCTCACCACACCCATAAGTATTGCAGTGGTGGAATTTTTAATTGTCATGAAAACCTATGTTCCAATACCTTCCACGGGTTCCTGGACAGAATATAAGGCTTCCTTGTTAATTTGCTAGGCTGTGGGGTTAGCATATTATGGGCCCCAAGTCACAAAAGGGAAAGTTTTTTTAAGATCCCAGTTGATCATTAAGACCTAAGCCCTTAGTCTTTGGTCCTGTATCTGGGTCTGACTCCTTATCCCATCATCCTAAGTACTGTCTTTGTGGGTACAGAGTCCATCTTGTTTCTAGAAAGTGGGGTTTCCCCTAAATTTTGAGCTCAAGTCTGCATTTGAAGATATTATGTGTACCCAGCATTTTCACACATTAATAATGTGAACAGGGTCTATGTCAGCTCATACTACCATGATTCTAGAAGGTGAAGTTCAAATTGGTCTAAGATGTTGAAGACACTGCTCTTCCTACTACTGTTTACTTTATTATTAAGACCAAATCACTCTTCACCTCTCCATTATTTCTTTTTAAGATTTATTTATTTATGCATAGAAGAACAGGGTGTAGGCCAGAGGTGGAAGGTGTGAGGATTCATCAGAGAAAGAGTAGGGAACAGAACAAATGGATCTACTGAAATACACTGCTGAGGGGAGCAGCGGGCGAGACAGGAGAGGTCTGCTGTGCCGTGTGGGTAGCTCCCTGGCCAGGGATCAAATTCAGGCCTTAGTGGTGATAGTTCTGAGACTTAACCTGTAGGCCACCAAGGAGGCCCCTCCATTATTTCTTATTTCCCAGTAAGTAATGACATTCCTCTTGGCCCTGTATTTGCGTCACTTTCATTTGTAACTAGTATTGCCCTTGTAGTTGGACTGCCGGTCACCAGTGATTTCGAGCCCTGAGTTGTGTGTGTAAAAAAACAAGATTCCATGAAACATGGAGAATCTACCTTAAGTTCCAGTATGGCAACTCAGTAAATTATACTACTTAATCAATCAATTAATAAATGAAGTTGAACTTGTAAGAACTTTTTCTTGTTCACGGCGCTGGTGAAAATCATTGGGCCAGCAGAGGGAGCTAAAATACAAGCGATAAGACCTGGGTTTGGCCTCATTGTGTTGGACAGTGGGAGGCAAAGTGAGAAAAATGGTGCAAACTAGCAAGAGTGACTCTTCCCTGGGCCCTCTGATAGAGAGCAAGAGTCGTGAAACTTTTCTGTAAAAAGCCGGATAGTAAATAATTTAGATTTTCTGGGCCACGTGCAGCTTCTGTCACACATTTTTTTTTTTTATACAATTTTTTAACTCATGACTATAGGCTGGATTTGGTGCAGGCGCCATAGCTTAAAAAATAAAATGTTTTATTTTTAATTTTCTTTCCAAATATGGCCCTTGGTTCCCCTTCACACTTGTTTCTGTACTCTGGACAGGCTGCCACGGGGTTTGAATACCTCTTTCCGCTCAGGCATAACAAACTATGCAGATTCATGTTGTATTTTTCCTATTGCAGACCTAGAACCAGCTGTTCTCCAAGACAATGCTACCTTTCTGTGAGGACGGGTATTTTGAAAGCAAAATCTGGAATCTAGGGATGCTCACGGTTACTGGGGTATCATTGCACCAAAACTTTCCAGTAAACTTTGCTAAGAAATACGTGTTTTAAAAATCACTTCAAACCTTTATACTTTTAATGTGAACTGTGGAATTTTTTAAAAAAGCCATTTTCAGTGCTAATGATTTTAGAATATAATTTACAGCACTGATTATATTTGGTCAAAATCCCTTCAGTGCTAATAATGAGAAAAAAGTGAATATTAAATAAAACAATGCATTGATAGGACATAGATTCTATATAACTATATAGTTGGAATAAAGTGTCTTCCTTTTTAAATTTTTCTCCTAATTTATATATTTTTTTCACTCTTCAATTGCCCTTCCTTGTCCCCTGGTTCCACAGTGAATAATTGTCTTATGTCTCAGCTCTGTCTGTTAAAAAATGTTTTTGCCAGTATCTTTAAGTCAGTGCTCCTTCCCCCATCTCAGAATGTTTGTTTACGTCCACTAGTTTTTTTAAATTGCTTTACTCTATCCAATTGTCTCCTACGTAAATGTCCAGTTTTGTTAGCGTTCTGACTTACTTTACTGTATACAGGTCTCTAAAAATCCCTCCATTTTGTCAAGAATGACTGCATTCCATCCATTCTTGTGGCTATACAATACCCCAAGGTGTGATTAAACCATGTTTCCTTGGTCCAAGAGTTCTGACTCCTACTTCAGAGGACTCCACACATCACAAACACAAAAATAAATTGTAAATATATTGAAGAAAATATGGGTGTCTCTGTCACTGGGAATCCAGGACTCACTGCAGGCACAGCAGCCAGTATTCCCAAACACCCGTCTCACTACAACACTGGCCATTCTCCAGGGAAATGCTTTCCTATAACTTTTGCTCAGTACGTTCAAACAGAAGGCAAGACTTCAAAATTCAGTGCTGCACAGACTCTTCATTGGCAGAACAATTTGAACAGCAGAAGTGCTTAAGGAGGAGGGACAGATTAATTTGTCAGATCTTTCTTCTTAGTATGAAGGTCATGGATTCTTGCACAAGGAATTACAGTTCTTAGTAGGTCTGAGTGAACACCCTGCCCCAGCACCCAGCAAGGTTTTTTGTTTTTTGCTTCGAAGCCAAAAATAAAAATTGAAGAACACAAACAACATGTGTTCAGTGATACCTTTTACTGGTATGTAGTGGAACTTGGCTTCACTAAAGAAGGACATCCCCACTGGGGATCCAGCGTGGCATCCTGAGATTAACCAACTAATCTTGCAAACATCCAGGGCTTGCCAGCTTGACAAGTGAAATGCTGAGCTATTCTTGGTCTGGAACTACAGGAGGCTGATCCAGAAAGAGAAATGATAGCTCTGATCCCTCTGGGCCTTCCCTGAGATAAGAAGGAAGCACAAGGTCGTGATGAGATTATTGAGGGACACCCCATCTGGGGACACTGTGGGGATACAGTACATCAGAACACGTGCAAAGCCTGTCTTTGAAAGGGAAGACCAGCAGAAGTTTCCGGCTGAAAATCACAAGTTAAAACTCAGACCAATCTTTGCAAGCACCGTGCTCCTGAGACTTGAGCAGAGTTGGTGGCGGGCCATGCTGAATGACTGCGTTTGGGTGCCATGTGACCTGGGACAGCTACTCACCCACTGTCCCTTTGAAAGACCATTTCTAACCCGTCTGCTACTAGGCACTGTTTGGGACTGAACCACAACTGAATGGCATCAAGTGACTCTAAGATCGTTGATCTCAATCACATCTTGAGTGATGTCAGAAAGGGATTCAAATAAGGAAGGGGCTGGTCAATAAAATTTGCTGATGAAAGGAGGTGGTTACACACAGGAGTTGAAAAGGCACAGAGGGTCTCATGGGATCCATCAGTGACTGACAGTCCCCTCTCCCCTGGGGTGGATACTACCTCACAAGAAAATCTAACTCTAGCTACATAGACTTGGGTCTCACTGTGTGAGTCTCTGGATTCCAGAAGTGCTGGCTGGAGTCTTGCTTAGGGGGTTGCTTCCCAAGCTGCAAAAGGTAAGATTGGAAGAGTTGGACCTCTCAATAGCAGGACCCCGATGAAAAAGTAAGGCAAGGTGAACTTCAGCCAATAGGCTGAGTCACATGGGTGACTGTGCACACAGGAATACCCAGGATCGTCCCATATGATTATATAGATTCTTGCGCTGCGGCCAGTGGGCTAGCAGTTTGATCTGGCAATGGGTCACAGAAGGTGCTATTGAAATTTCACCTTTCAGGGCCTCCCTGGTGGCACAGTGGGTTGAGCACAGCACTGTGATGCTGTCCACAGCCTCTGCAGCTCAGGTTTGATTCCCAGCCGTCCACGGAAAAACCCACACAGCACGGCAGACCTCTCCTGTCACACGCGCTGCTCCCCTCAGCAGTGTATTTCAGTCAGTCTGCCTGTTCTGCTCCCCGCTCTGTCTCTGGTGAATCCTCTCACCCCCCTGGATCTCTGGCCTGTACCCCAGTTCTTGTATGCATAAATAAATAAATATTTTTTAAAAAAGAAATACAATATCAAGTAGTCTCATATTTCATATCACTTCTGAAAAGCAGTGAAATTATTTAAAAACTAGAATGTGTACTTGAAACAACAAAGGACTGGATTTGCAGAGCAGAAAATGCAAGATCTAGCTAAACAGGAGGGGGACAACAGTGAGTCATCCATGGAACAGTTTTTTGTTTTGTTTTTTTTTAAGATTTATTTATTTATTTATACAAGCACTGGGTACAGTCAGAAGCATGAGAGGGTGAGAGAATTCACCAGAGCCAGAGCGGGGAGCAGTACAGGCAGAAGGACCGAGGTACACTGCTGAGGGGAGCAGCGGGCGGCAGGAGAGGTCTGCGCGCCATGTGGGACCCTCCCCTGGCAGCCGGGTATCTAACTGGCACTGCAGAGACTGTGGGCAGCTTCACAGGCCAGTGCTCAACTGCTGCACCACCAATGAGGCCCCCCATGGAGCAGTTTTAAAGGAATGGCTGAGATATTTGGGGATCAAGAAACCCTATTTTTCCCAGGTCTAGGGATTTAGTTGTGTTCCCTAACATAGGAATGCTAGAAATCAATTGAATTTGGCTTCATGGAATGCTGATGGCATTCATGGGCTGGAATGGAAAATCTGGTATTTTCAGGATATATCCTACCCAGTGGAGAGGACCCAGCAACAATATATTTATTAAATCATTTGAACATACACTAAGAAAGGACACACAGGAAGCTTTAATGGTGTTACTTTTGCTGCCCAATCTCTAAAGGGTAGCAGAGAAGTCTTCAAAATTCCTCCTCCAGTAGAAGAAAGAGCATGGGATAAGAAGGGCTCCCAGTGGGGAAATACAAGATGGCAGCAGAAAGAACTGGAACCCCCAGGGCCTCACTGGTGGTGTAAGGAGTTAAGTCTCAGCACCATGAAGCTATCCGCAGCCACTGCAGCAAGAGTTCAATCCCCAGCCAGGATGCTCCCCACATGGCACAGCAGACTGCTCTTGTCACGCCCGCTGCTCCCCTCAGCAGTGTATTTCGGTCAGTCTGCCTGTTCTGTTCCCCACTCTGTCTCTGGTGAATCCTCTCACTCTCCCGCACCTCTGTTTCTACTCCCCATCACTTCCCCTCCAGCATCCCCAATCCCTCTCTTGTTCATCACCCTGTTTTATTTTCCCCATTGCACTTATAACTCCCTGAAGCTTTCCTTTTCCACCTACTTATTGCTGTCTCTGCTTCTTCCTCCCAGCCTGCCCAGCCATATACACACACTACACACGAACACCGGGCATGTGAATCAACTCCACTCCGCCCCGCACACCCTGGCCTTGTTACCTCTCGTATTCTCCTCTGCCATTCCTCAATGAATTCAGGAGCACTGGTGTTCACCTGGCTGGCATTGAATGTCCACTCGGGGCACTTCCAGGAGGGAAGGTTGAGCATGGCCAGAGAGGGAGCCACAAAAGCAAATGTCCCTCCCTGCAGAATAGGCAGCCTGGAGGAGGGGAAAGGATGCAGTTACCCATGAGAGCCTTTAGCACTGGCCTATTGGTCCCCCAATAGGTGCCTCTTAATCCCCAGTCCTTGCTGGGTTGAGAGACAACACATTACTCCTGCTTGGTATAAGAGGCTTCCTGGCAAGCTCCAACTCAGACCCACGAGCCCTGTCAAACTTTGGAGAGATGGGTGGGGGAAAGACAAACTGACCCAATCCCAGTCTTAGAGATGGGCACCCAGGAAGAGAATCCGGTGCTAGAAAACCCTCCGGAAATAGCACAGAGCTCAGGAAGATGATTCGTGGTGCCATTGTCTATCCCAGTCCCAGAAAAACTTGCCCAGATCCCAGGATCAAAGCACAACTCCACATACGGAGCTGGCCCACCACACACAGCCCATATTGGGGTTATCAGAATCCTTTTTGTCTTCAGCAATGAGCAGCAATCCCACACCTCTCCCTTCAGGCTCTTTTTTATCCCATGGACTGAACAGATCTGAGGTCAATCCTCAGGGAGTATCCCCAGCTGGCACTCCCCCCACCCCACGCTCACTCCTGATCAGCTTCTTGCTCTGGCTTCATGAGAACTTCCGACTGTGTCAGCCTGACCCGCCTTCCCTGTGAGGTAGACACAACCCATGAGTCAACCTCCAACAACACTCTCTTCCTAGAGGTCAGAGCCATCGAGGTGACTTACTCTGCCCGCCTGGACATTAGAATTTTGGAGGGTGGACAAGACGGACTTCACTGCGTTTGTCACTGTGGTACACCCAGTTCTGGTACTTTTTCTTCACTATACCAAAGGGGTGTTTTTGTTTCATTTTTTTATTGAGTGAATGTTGGTTTATATCACAGTTTGTATTGTGAAAGTATAGGATCCCCTACCATAGCACCACCAAAATGCCCACCATCCACCACCACAGTCCACGGTGCTGCCCTCCTACCCCAATTTTGTGCTGGTCCCTCCCCTTCTGAATGCCTCAGTTCTATAATCAGCTTTCAAGGGCTAGTTTTTGAATTTAGCTTTATCTAACTCTCTGTCTGGTTTCTCTATTCCACATGTAAGTGACACCGTCTGGTATCTGTCTTTCTCCTGACTTATTTCACTGTGCACAATCCTTCCAGCTCCATCCATGTTGTGGTACATGACGTGGGTTTATCTTTTTTGATTGCTGAGTAATATTCCATTTGTAAATATACCATGACTGTTTGATCCATTTGTCTATTTTGGGGCATTGGGTTGTTTCCATATCTTGGCTATTGTAAATAGTGCTGCAATAGGCACAGGACTGCAGATTTCCTTTTGAATTAGTGTTCACGATATCCTGTGGTTCAATGGATTGTGAGGCATTCCCTTACAGCATTTCAGAAGCAAGGACTCCAAGACCCCTGAGTTGTAGCTGGGAGGCAGCCATCCTTTCTGCCTAGGGTATGAACTGCCAGCTCCAGCCAGGCTGGGGCTGGAGGCTGATATCAAAGCAACACTTATTGCTCTTTATCACCCCCTTTTTATTATTTAATGTGGTTTTAATTACTAAGACCTTCCAATATCTTCTTGCAACATCAGCTAATTGAGGAAAGGCCATCATTAAATACTGGTTAAAGCAATAAGCAGCAAATAAATCTGCTTAACCTTTGATTCATAGCTCTGCACTATCATTTTTTAGGCAGTTAACGTCTCCATGGGTGGAATCAAACTCCAGTTCATTTTGCCCCCACCCTGCTCTAAAGACATCAGCCTGCGTTCATTCCCTAATTTTATTTCCCTTTTGCTTTGCTTGTTCTATGAGCATCTACGTTCTTTGAACCTTAACTCCTGACAGGTCTGCATTTCTCACAGAGCTGAGAAGGGGCAGCCACAGCTCTTCCACTACCAGTTTTGCAGGTGAAACGCGTCACCTCGTCATCTTCTCTGCTGATATCACAGGTGCCCACTACAGTAGTGACGGGAGGCCTGTTTAGATATTTTCTAGCTCAACTCTTGTTTTACAGATGGGAAAACTGGGCCTTAGAGAGGGCAAAGGACTTGTCCAATGTCCCAGAGCATAGAAGCCAGGACTAGAATTCAAGATCTATGGTTTGCAAAATCAAAGCTTTTCCATGATGACACGAAATGCCATCTCAGGTTTAAAGAGGAAGGACAGTCTCTGCCCAGAAGAGCTTTGTGTTTGGAACACTCCACAGCATGTCGACAGGGCCAAGGGCATGTGCCCACCTCAGGTCCGCACAACTGTCCCCTTTGAGTCCCAATATTCTCTTTCCCAGAGGCCCTGAGCCTCTTTCAGAGCCTGCTTGGTGTGCACACACCTAGGCCTGAAGGCTGGCCCAGGGGCACTTTGAGGAGCAGCTATTTGGGGGGCAGCTGTTTGCAGAATCAATCGTATATGGTGCATGGGGTGTGAGTGGACAGAGGTGGGTGTGTAGGGTGGGGTGTCCACATTCATGCATGTGGGGCCATTTGTGATCTGGAGCCAAGCACGAGATAGGAAGAGAACACTGACCAGGGGCTGCCCTCTGCCCCGCAACATGCTGTCAGTTCCCAAACAGCCAAACATCAAGGAGCCAGAGAGTCCTACCTTCAAACCTGGCCCTCCAGGGGGGATGATCGAAATATGTATTTTTTAAAGATTTTGTGAGTTTGCTTCTAACGTTTCAATATTTGGTCGTGGAATGTGTGGGTCTCCCTTTGTACCTCTCGAAAATACGAAGGGCAGGCTGAGCAGAGGCAGGAGATGGTGAGAGGGTTCTGTAGCAGTGTGGTCCCCACAGAACACGGACGTCCCATGTTCCCTGGCCCAGCAAATGAAGAGTGGAGCTGAGCACCCGGGGTGAGGGGGGTCGGCTAGAAGGGAGGAGACCAGAGAGGACCTGAGGGAAGACCCGGAGAAGTGTGTGGAGCAGGAAGACATGTGCAGCAGCCGCACATGCCTCTTGGGCAGGGACTTGTACCAGGGCCTCGGGGACATGGAAGAGACAATTGAAAGAGACAGAGACATGGATAAGAGACCCGTGGGAGGCTGACAGTGGCAGCCTTTGTCTTATCTTGGGTTTTGATGTTGATCCTTTCCTTCCAGACTTGCTGGCCCCTTCTGTCCCTTTCGTCTGGGTCCCCACCAGAAGGTGCCTTAGACTGTGGCAGGCTTTGGGGCCTCAGTGGTCCAGCTTTGAGCCAACCTGTTTGGCTGGGCATTTACTCACCAGAGGATGAATAACTTGGGGTGTTTATGGGGAAACCATTTTAACTATATTCCTTCTCTTCTCTCTACTACACACTAACTGTATTAAAGTCATTTTCTGTTGAAGGTCTTATGCATTAAGTTTTGACTTTACGCAGTGGATAGCGGAACCCATTTAGAGCAGGCAGGTTTGGGGGTAACAGGGTGCCCCTCATTCCGCCCGCTAACAGTTCCAGGAGTACTTGAGTCCCCAGCTCAATGTATCCCTGTGGCACAGATGTCCCTGCCTCTCTCTTGGTTTGATGTTATTAAAGAGCAGGTTTTGGCTGAAGCTCTTCCGGGTTTGTGTGCCTGGGGTGGAGAGGCCTAGCCGAGGCGCACAGCAGCGATGGAGCTGGGGTCTGAACCAGGCTTTCACTCCTAGTGCTCCTGCTCTCCTCACAGCAGCTTCCTAATCACTGCCCCCCTCCCCCGCAATCCACCCCTCAGGCCCAGCCAGCCAGCCTGACACCCAGGGAGTGTGTTACCAGGGGAGGAGTCTTGCCTACCTGATTCCCAAAAACACTTGCAGGAGAGTGCAGATGCCAGAGACGAAGAAGATGGTGCCAATCAGGTAGCTCTGGGTCAGGGGGTCGTGCTGCAGACACAGGTCCTTGGCCAGGATGAGCGGCACAGCCACCAGCCCACCCAGGGCAGTGAGGAAGTGCTGCGGGCAGAGGACAGCATGAGGGGTGGGTGCCCTCTGCAGGGGGAGTGAGAGGGAGTGAGGGGGGTAGTGGGGGGGATGTTTGCCTCTGTCCCCACAGGGGATTGGCAGTGGGATTGACCAGCCTGCCTGTTTTGCCAACATTCACCACTGCTGGATATTCTAACTTTTAAATAATCATCTATTGCTTGGATACTAAATGGAAAAAAGTGGAAATAGGGGGGCCTCCCTGGTGGCGCAGTGGTTGAGCGCTGGGTTGCGAAGCTGCCTGTGGCGCCAGTTCGATCCCCGGCTGCTCCCCGGCCACCGAAGAAGGATCCCGCATGGTGCACAGACCTCTCCTGCCACCCGCTGCTCCCCTCAGCAGTGTACTTCGGTCCTTCTGCCTGTTCTGTTCCCCGCTCTGGCTCTGGTGAATTCTCTCACCCTCTCGCACTTCTGACTGTCCCCAGTGCATGTATAAACAAACAAACAAACAAATAAATAAATAAGTAAACATGCCCCTATTAAAAAAAAAAAAAAGTGGAAATAGCCTTATTGCTTTCACGTCCATTCTCAAGCACTTTTCTTGAATGTATTAGTAATATTTTTTCTTTTGTGATGTGTTCATTGGTGCTCTGTGCCATTCTGGCAAACTTTTTTTTCCCTGTCATCTTATTGATTTGCCACTCGTTTACATAACTACATAATTTGGGGAGACAACTTCACCCCTCCACTGACGCACTATGCTGCGTTTTTTTTTTTTTTCTCAATCTTTTATTTTGGCCTTTAATTTCTCTCAGTACAGTTATTATTTGCATATGGGTTTTTACATATATCTTTATTTATTTATTTTAATCTTACATCATTGTTCATTTTTACTTTTTTTTTAAAAGATTTATTTATACACACAAGAACTGGGGTACAGGCAAGAGGTGTGGGGGTGAGAGGATTCACCAGAGACAGAGTGGGGAACCGAACAGGCAGACTGACTGAAGTACACTGCTGAGGGCAGTAGCAAGTGAATCAGGAGAGGTCTGCTGTACCATGGGGGTAGCTCCCTGGCCAGCTAGGGATGGAACTCATGCTGCAGAGGCTGCCGATATCTTCATAGTTTGCATCTTAACCCCTTGCACGACCAGGGAGGCCCCATTGTTCATTTTTAAACAGTGTTTGTTTTCTTTTCTCAGGTGTAGTCCCCATAGAGTTTCCACCACCATTCCCCCGGGCACCATCACCACAATCCTCTGTGCGCTTCCCTCCCTCCTTCTAATTCCTCTCCCTCCCCTGCAGGATGTCTCTGGTTTATAGTTGTCTGTTTTTGTTTTTTGTTTTGTATTGTTATTATTTTTCCCCCCTGATGCCTTATTTGTTTCCTCTATATTCCTCCTATAAGTGAAACCATCTGATATTTTCCTTTTTCCTTCTGACTTATTTCACTGAGCATAATTCCTTCTAACTCCATCCATGTTGCTGCAACTGGCATGAGTTTATCTTTTTTGATTGCTGATTAGTGGTATATCTGCTGCGTGGTTTTGAGTCCCTGAGGGTTGCCAGGACTGGCCCCAACTCCTCTGTGGTCATGAGCCTCCACTCCACGAGGGGCTCCTCTCAGGGATTTTTTGTGATGTTATCTTGTCTCCATATTTCAAATTTTATACGGATTTTAATGGGTGTGAGTTTTCGGATGGTGATCCTTGCATCTGGCAGAGTGATCAATACCAGAAAACTGGTATTGGCCTGGGTAGTAGGTGTAAAAGAGGAGCAGGGTCGTGGGCACAAAGAAATCTCCTCCAGCAAACTCAGGAATTTGAACTTCCTGCCGTGCGTGGGAGCCCGAGTGTATGGTGGGGTCCACAGTGATTCCCCCAAAGGCTGGCTCCTCGGAATAGTGTCTCTTAATGTCTGGCGTCCGCCTCTACTCCAGGCTATTATTAAGCCCAAGATGCAGCGCTGGACACTGGCTGGAGTTGATATGGGGCCCAGGCTGGGAGTTGTTCTATTTTCTTTTCCAGCACAGAGTCATCCTTGGTACTTTCTCCTTCAGATTTGTTCGAAGTTTCTTTGCTTTAGTTTTAGCCCTGGGGTGGGGGTGTTATAGAGCAACCCCGATACAAAACGGGGTGCCTGACTGTGGGTCCTCACCCGCGCGCTTAAAAGGACTTATCAATGCTCTACTGCAGGCACACGTGAAAGGTTAATAAAAAAGGTTTATTTACAAGGGAAGGGGAAATGAGGAAATGTACAGCTCTGGGAGAAAAGTGGGAGACAAAGTTTTAAATGCGTCCTACCCGATCCGCAGATCAGGAATCCCAAAATGGCGCTCTGAGAGCTGGCCGCCAGCCAGGAGCGGTGAAGCCAGGAGGCGAGCGATCGCGAGCCAGAGAGCGAGCAAGGCCCACGTGTTTGGTTTTTATATCCAACCTGGCTGCCCAACTCCACCCTCAGGTCCCAGCCACCCTCCCCTTGGTGGTGATGGGATTTGTCTTTCCCAATGTCCTGATGGCTTTAGTCTGGAGTGGGGGTGGAGTCCACAAAGCCTGTATGGGATTATCTCAGGACATCCTTTCCCCCTAACAGGGGCATGGCGGGTTTTGAGTACCCCAGCCCTGGCTTCTAGTTGTAAACTCCTTTATAAGGAAAGGCAGGTCCTCTGATACAATTCAAGCTACAGCCTGTATTTCTCACTCTGTGACCCACCCCTGCAGCTTCCAAAGAGGCAGCCTCTGTCCTGGGTGCCTGCCCGTGCACCCCCTTATCCAGTGCGGAGCTGGGTCTCAGCAGCCTGAACGTTGGCATGTGCCCGAGTCAGTAGGTGGCACAGCAGCCATTCCTCCTCTCGTGGGTTGTACTGTCCTGTTATCACTCTAAACAACATTTTCTTGAAGTTTTCCTACCCCTTCTGCTGGACTCGTGCTCCCAGTGGGTGCTCCCTGGGGGTTATTCTCTTTGGGGCACAGCAGTTCATTGTGAGTATTAGGAGAGCCGCCATCTTCTCTCGGCCGCCATCTTCACTCGGCCGCCATCTTGTCAGACCTCCTTACACCATCATTTGTTACCACGCCTTCATTTTCCAGCGTGCCTATTCCAGGTCAGGATGAAAGGTGGCTGGAGCTTTTCCTGGCAGCTCAAGGCACAAGGTGGGACCCAACCCTGCACAAGATGGCATTCTATCACAGGGCACATCGCACGCGTGCAAGCGTGTACACACACACACACACACTCACTCCGACATGGACAGTCGAGACAGGCCGTGAACCCAATGTGCCTGTCTTTGGGATGTGGGAAGAAACAGAGCACCCCAGTACCACATCCGTGGGAGAAGGAGCAAATGCCACACAGACAGTGGCCCTGCCAGGAATCCATTTTTATTTTCTCATTGAAAATAAAGCACAAAGGGAATGACAGAATTCCAGGAGCTACTGTAGATAGACAGAAGATGACAGCTTGATTAGATAGACAGAAAGGGAGAGAGAGATGGGGGCAAATGGCCCATAGAGGGAGGGGTTGCTACCCCATACACTCTAGTCCAAAGCTGAGAGGTTGGGCGGGTCTAGATGTGCATTCATCAGAAACATCCAGTTTCATTCTGAGCCCATTGTCTGACGTGACTCCAGTCCCACTGAGCCAAATATTTAAGGACAGCGGCATACAAAGGCCATCTGCTTCTCCCCTCTGCCCCCATCAGGCAGCTCTCTGGTATCTAAGGTCTCTGCCAGCGTGTCACTGGTGCCTTCCAGGTGCTTCTAGGATCGCCCCCATTTGCCATCAGCTGGAGCAACCATGCATCCCTGCAGGTTCGCCCAGAGTCCAGTGACCAGCTTCTTGCTAAGCACTGTCGCCTAAGTCAGGCCAGAATGCCTTGGTTTACAAAAGTTAGCTGCTGGGTCAGCTAAGACAGTAAGAAAAGAATAAATGAATGAACAGAGCCCCTGCTGTTGTTAATGTTAGAGACATTAAGGTGTCCTTATGATGGAATTAGGGCACAGGACCCTGCAATACCTGATTCCTTTGTCAGCCCAACCAGTCCTCTTCCTGCTAACGCTGAGCACCATCTACACACAAATGAGGCCAAACAAAGGGATCACTTGTTCTTACTTACTTGGGGTTTGATTCCAAACCTCTTTGTGAACTAAACTCTATACCTAAGGGAAGGATAGGTTTTTGTTTTCTTTTTTTGTCTTCAGACAATTAAACCCCCAAAATATCCATTTCCTGAAAAGATCTGCATTTTATACACACACACACACACACACACACACACACCAGGAGAAGTGAGTCTCAGGATTTACTGTTCCATAGGACGGAGGACCACACCCTCTCCTGTCATGCCACAAGGCGAGAGCTAGAAAGCACCCTTGGCCACCACTGAGGTCAGTCCTGGGCCCCCGGGGCCAGTACGCCTGGGGAGAGCATGCCCACGTCTCTCAGCCACACGGGTGGAATGAAGACGAGGGAGGGCAATGAAATGGCCAGGTTCTTCTTAAAGGGGGAAGCTCCAGCTCCTCTTCCTGGGTCAGGCTGTCCACAATCTCAGTTAACTCCTCAGCGAATAATTGGAATAATCCCAACACTCAGAACTGACTATCAGGACTGCTCTTTGGCAATAAGGGTGGGGCGATGTGTGTTGGAGGCAGGGAGACTGAACTTTTTGTCCATTCTTTGGCTAACCCAACAAGTTTTATTGGCAAAGGATGGTCAACTGGCGATTGCTCCCTCTTTGAGAAGAGGGTATGAGAGGGTTTTCAGAGAAGAAAGGCCTGTGTTTTTATAGAGCACTTGGGCACTGGCCATTGGCCCTGGATCCTCTCAGAACAAATGACCTGGGAAGGTCAGCCCCTCAGAGCCTCCTAGAAAAGCTTTTTGGACCTGCCACCAGCTAGTTTGAAACCACCCACTAACTTCTCCAAGCCCAGGGTCCTCTGGTGCTTTATCTCCCATCTGATATCATCTCCAGCATGTCTAGCAATCCTACTAACTCGATACTTATCAGACAGGCTAGCCCCTCCTATGATCAAACAAAGCTCTAGAGAACAGTAAACCCTCTGAATTTAGGTGGAAGATGAATAAGAAAGTGAAACTGTAGCTGGCAGCACTTGCTCCAAGGAAGCAGAGTCGACCAGATCTCTCTCTGGCCCCCCAGGGTTATTAGAAAAGAGATGTCACCCAAGTGAACTGGACCTTTGGCCAGCCCAGTGACTCCACCCAAGAAATCAATAGCCTGGAAGTGACATCAGCAAAGTGGGAATCTCTATTGCTTGTGTCCCCCAAGAAAGGTCAATTAGAACAACTCTCTGCGCAGGAAAATACCTTCACACAGGCCTGGCATCTGTCTGCATGCTCCCGGGACCAGCATCCCTGGTGCCAAGCTCCTATTGGGGGCCATTGAATCCAGACTCCAGCCTACTCCATCCGGCCTACTCCAAGGCATCAGGTGGCTCCCAGTCCATAGGCAGCTTCCCCAACAGAGCAACCTCCCTGTGGCTCCTGCAAACCCAGGCCCCTGCCTACCCTGCCACTTGCTGGCTGCTGTGGTCCCATCTGGCACCTTTGGCACCAGGTTCCCAGCAAACTTTCTTAAACCCACATCACATGGATATCTTGTTCTGGGTTTTGCTGATGTGTTTGTTCATTGTATAGTTTGATTTTACTCTAGTTGACCTTTAAACAAGATGGGTCTGAACTGTACCAGTCCATTTCTACAAGAGTTTTTTTCTATCTTCATTTCTGCAATCACAGAGTCAACCAACAACCAACCAACCAACCAACTACCCACAGGTATGAGTTGGCTGAAGGTTTCCATGCTGAACCTGTGGATATGAAGAGCTGACTATAAGGTACTTGAGCACCCATGGGTCTTACTATCATGGCTGGGGAAAGAGAGAAGGTAAAGGAGAATTGTTCTGAAACCAATCTCCAGTGGATACCAAGGAACCCAAGGGAAGACTTTAGTTTTAGGGAGTCAAGTGTTACACTAAGGTTTTCAAAGGCAGAGTTAGTCAGGAGTCAGCTGTGTTATCCGTAATGTCACCAGGATATCTTTATATTGTCTCCACACATCTTCCCAGCATAACTATAGAGAAATTCTCAAGCACTGGGGATGGGATTAAAGGGCCTGCGTGTTTTATGTGTCGACAGTTATTACCATATCATCATCCAGAAAGGCTGTACCTGATTCATATTCTAACAAAGTGTTTGAGAGTGATTGTTTCCCCAAATATACCAAGTTCATCAAACTTTTTAGTTGTTGCCAGTCAAATAATAATAGTGAGTTCTTAATAAAAAATGGCCCAGTCAGTGCCTTTGATGCGACCTATCAGCTCAGCATGAAGGAGAATCCTCTGTAACTCCCCATTCCAACTCCCACACTCCTGGAGAGAGAGACTGGAGGAGCCTGGAGCTCCCCTGGGCATCAATAACATGGAAGACAAGACCAGCACTGAAGCTGTGGGTCTGGAGCACTTTAACCTGCATGTGTGTTGATGTCGTTTTAGACCCTATGGCATTACCTGGATGCCCAAGAAGATGCAGAGATACCAGGGTGGGTTATCCAGGATGCCGTAGGCCAGATGGTCGCTGCTGTGACTCTCATGCTGCCCATCCATCTTCCTGCCTTGGCCATTCTCCTGGGGGCCGAGAGCACCATCAAGATTCTGCTGGGAACAAGAGAAAGAAGGACACGTCTGGACATTTACAAATGAGTCAGATGGACTTCCAGATTACAGCCAGACAGATGGATGGCAGACATCTCAGCGGCAAAAGGCAATGGGACCAGGATAACTGCCGGTCAACTAGAGACTGTCCATAGTATACATCTGCAGCAGGGTTTCCGAATGAAGTTGAGCCATCCCAGGGGAGTGAGTACCTTGCCCAAACCCTGGCAGAGAAGCATCTTTGTGGGGGAGCAGAAGGGAATGAGGTCCAAGGTCAGCTGCCCTACTATGTGCTGCCATGGCCCCAGATGTGTTTACATCTGCAGGACACTCATCACAGCAGGTTTATTATAGCCAGTGGTTTTCTCTCCTCCTGGGTTGTTCCTTGCTGGAATGCATCTCATGTGCTTATTCTTCTTCCTAGTTCAGCTTCTAGAACAGTCCCCACACTCAGCATAGATAGAAAAAAATGGATGAGTGAGTGGCTGTAACTGAGGGAGGACAGGAAGATGCTTGGTGCAGGGAGAGCAGGGGGAAGACTGGGGTCTGGGTAGAGGGAAATGGATCCCTTGCCCCCCCCTGACACCACTGATACCCCACACAGCCTTCTCTTTCCCCAGCTGACCCTCAGGTTCATTTCTTAATGTTACAGGGCACCCCCAATGTGAAGTGGGTTGGTCTAAGTGTGGGTCCTCACCCACATGCTTAAGAGGGACTTACAATGAGACTCAACCACTGGTAACACAAAAAGGTAATAAAGCATTTATTTATAAAAAGGAGAAATGAAGAAAGGAATAACCCAGGGAGAAAGAGAGAGATAAATTGGTGAATGTGTCCCACCAGTTCCACTGAGCTGGACCCCAAGATCACACTGAAGACTGGTGAAAAACCAAGGCCCCCCCAAGCCCCACATGTCTGGTTATACACCAAGCCTGGCTGCTTAACCCCACCCTCAGTTCCCAGCATGCTCCCTTCAGGGTGATGACATTATAGGATTTGTAGTCCTTGGATCTCTTTGGTCTGGGGTTGGGGTGGGGTCCATGAAACCTGAGTTTGTTCAGGCCCTCCCCGGCCCCCCACCACTAACACACCCACTCAGCTGGCCCTACCCAATGGGATTGTTCAGATCCCTCCAAAGGTGGTCCCCCTGTGCAGCCCTGGTGCCTTTGCTGGCTCTGTGCTCCCCCACCTTACCCCCCAGCTGGGAAGCCTTCAGGAGTCCATCATCCCCCATCTGTGTGTCTTCCTCTCTCCCAGCACATTTGGCCTCTGGGTAACTTACCATTTCCTGCCTTATATCAGGAATGGTTTCTGTTCACCTGTCGGTGCATAAGAGCCTGGGGCATACTCTTTGGTAAGTGTTAGCCTTCTCTCTTTTCTTCCTGCGCTTTTCATGCATAGAGCATAGCCTCAGTCAAAGAAATCATTATAATGCTAAGAAACCCAGAAAACAAACTTTCAGAGTCCACAGAGATCTGATAGCGGAAATAAAGCAAAGAGGATCCCTAGTTCCTCATTCCTTTGTAATTTACTCACAGTTTGGCCCTGGGAGCAACCTCTGCCCCTGGCAGTGAGACCCAGACCTGCAGGACACCTGACGCCCCCCCAGCCATTCCATGTCCTCTCCACATGCCCACCCCATCCTTAGCACTAATATCAGGACACCTGAGCAATCCTGGAAATGTGCTCTGTGCTCCCCACCACTCAGGCCTCCTCCTCCTGCCTGCCAGTGGTCCGTCTGCCCACCTCCTTTTCTCTCTCTTCTACCAGCACTTACCAAGGGGTCAGAGCACTCACAGCTGATGGTGGCAGGGTTCATGGCAGCTCAGGGCCCCCCTCAGGAGCGAAGAGAAGCAAAGGCACTCTTTGACGAACTTCTCAAGCAATAATGACAGAGAGGGAGAGGAGAGAGAGGGATTGGAGGGTGGGGCTTCCAAGCCCCACCTCACCTCCTATAAAAACTCCAGCTCTCAGGGCACAAGTACAGCTTCGATTTGTGCAACTTGGATTTGAAAAGATTGGGTAACTCAAAGACTGGGGGGTGGGGCAGGAGATGACAGGTGAAGGTGAGCCTCGGGGCTGAATGGAGAGATATTTCAGTTTGCTCAAGCTGATTCAATGGCCCCTCGAGAGGGAATGGAAAGCAATGCAAAAGTAAGCCAACAAGCAGGGGCCTGAGCTGCGGTACTGAGGTAACTGACGAGGAAAAGTAACTGCTGTTGACCTGGGAGCAGCCACTGAGGCTCCCAGGTGGAGCAGAGGCTTCTGGTGAGACCCACAGAAAACCTGATTCTAATCATGCTGTAACAGGGGGGTCCCCAGGAAAGGGGGAATTTCCAGGTTTCCTGCCCCACCCAAGGGAGGGTGGAGCTGAGCAGAGAGAGAAGCTGCAGAGGAGACTGAGGAAGGAAGGAAGCAGGATGGAGCCAGAAGGAGACCTGGAGGAGGCACATGGAGCAGAGAGACACGTGAAGATACCGCGCTTGCCTTTTGGCCGTGGACGGGGTGACACAGATGTGGGTGAGAGACCCGTGGGAGGTGACAATGGTGGTTTTTGTCTTGATTATGATTTTGCTCTTTTCCTTCCAGACTTGTCTGGTTGTTTCTGATCCTTTTCTGTGGGTCCCCACTGGAAGATGCTTTACACTTGTGGCAGGCTTTGGGGCCTTGCTCTGGGCCGATCCTGCTTGGGTGGACTTTTACCCACGAGGGGACGGGTCACTTTGGGTGCTTGATTTAGAAACTAGATTCTTGGCCTTTCCTGTATTGTCTCCTAATTGCATTAAAGTTCCTTCCCATTAAAGTCTCATATGTTTTGTGTTGATGTGGTGGATGGCAGAACCTATTGAGAGCAGGCGGGTTTGCGGGGTCTGAGCTGCCCCTCTCCCTGTCCTGTAACAATGCTTGTTCTCCCTAACAGCCCACCGTTGTTTTTTTTTTTAATTTTATTTTTATATTCCCCATACAATTACAACCCCCTTATTTTGACCCCAACCCCTCCTTTCCCCGCCCCCCACCCCCCATAGAGTGTCTCTAGTTCATAGTTGTTTGTTGATTTTGATATTTTCTTTCTTATAGTTATTCATTTTCCTGGTCCCTTATTTAAGTTTTCTAGATTCCTGCTATGAGTGAGACCATCCGGTATTTTTCTTTTTCTTTTTGGCTTATTTCGCTGAGCATGATCCCTTCCAGCGCCATCCATGTTGCTGCAAATTGCATGTGTTTATCTTTTTTGAATGCTGAGTAATATTCCATGGTGTATATGGACCACATCTTCTTGAACCAGTCATCTATTTTGGGCATTTGGGTTAACAGCCCACCTTTCAGGGACATCCAGGAAAGCACGGTCTTGCTTTTCTTATTCTGCACAAGGTACTTGAAAGGCCTTCCTCAAAAACGCTGTGTAAGCTCCACTTCATGAAGTATGAAGCAAGTCAGGTTCCAACTACCTATGGTGGTGGAGTATTCTGGAATGGGTGACATGGGCACCCAAGTTTCGGGAACTACGTGGCAGGATGCACATAGGTGTCACTGGGAGCTGGTCTGGGAGAGCCCTGAGAAACACAGCAGTGAGATGTTGGACCAGAGAGGGAAAAACCTGATTTGGGCTGTGCCAGAAAAGCCAATAGCACTAAGTAACCGGACTTTACTGGATATGAACTTGTCGCTCTGCTGCAAGCGTTTTGTATTCTGAATGGGCACAACACTGGAGCATTTGCATCCTTGTTTTATATTAGGAAACTCTGGCATTGATGGGTTCAACACTTCACCCAAGGGTCATAGCACATACAGGAGCAGAGATTCAAAACATGGGGGGTCTTGTTCCACAGCCCTCAGGAGACATGCACCCCTGCTGGGTCTGACAACAGCAAGGATGAGGCTCTGGGGGAGGTAACACAGAGCGTGTGGCCCTGAGGGGCATTCATTAGCAGAAATGTGGATCCTCTAAACTTGGACCCCAAGTCCTGGCCCTTATCAAAGTGTCTGTGCCTCTCCTATCCTTTAAGTGGAGGACAAGGAGTAAGAGGAGATTGTTCTTGATTTACATACAAAGTCATATCAAGTTATATCAGTAACTTCAGAGAGAACTTTAGCTTTGCGGTGAGTTTTCAAGCATGGGTATTAATGAATATTCCTCCCTTCCTTCCAGTCACCCACCCTTCAGCACATTATAGAGCACTTAGCATTACCTGGTATGTTCTAGGCATCGTACTAGGTGATGAGAGAATCCTACACCCAGGTCCCTGCCCTCATGGAACTCCCTCTCGTGTGGGAGACAGACATTAGTTCAAGACTCACACAGTTCAACATAAAGTCTCACCATGGCCAAGTGCTATAGGGGAGAGATGAATAGGAACATGAGATTTTATTATAAGAAAATTTAACTAGTTAAGGCAGTCAGAGAAAATAACAACTGATTTGATATGTTTTGACTCATTTAGAGTGTTTCAGGCAGGAGAAATAATTTGTGCAAAGGCCCTGGGGCAGGAACACTTGGAGAACTAAAAGAAGACAGGAATGAGGAGAAACATGAGGCAGGAGAGGCAAGTGGAGTCAGGAGAAGTAGGCAGGAAGGGCCCAGACATGGAAGGCCTTGTGGGTCCTATTCCTTATCTACAGAGGAATGGGAAGCCATTGATATGTTTTAAATCGGGAAGCGACATGAGCAGCTTTATTGTCTGTGGAGAAGAGACTGGAAGGGGAAGAGTGGATGTGGAGAGAACCAGGCTCTCACAGGGTCCCCGTGATAAAATACTCTGGCTCAGTGAAGGTGACAGAACTGACTGGAATGAAGAGATAGGAGGGGAAGTCAACAGAACTTGGTGATAGACTCAGCTTGGGTGTCTCGCAAGTAGGGACCCAAGAGACTAAAGATCATGGCCTCACTTCCTCCTCCCTCTAATTTCCTACAGGTGCTCCCCACAGGCTAAACACCACAGGAACCAGAGAATACACAGGCACCTATGAGGTAGCCCACGTCAGCTGGCCTCT